AAGAATGGTATAATATTCCCTTGGCAAACATACAGGAACTGTATTTATCCATTCCGAGAAGACTGCAAGCTGTTTTGGATGCCAACGGGTTTCCTACACCATATTAAGCAAAGAAACATGTTTTTTTAAAGGTGTTTCCATATTTTTGTCCAACCCCTGTAGTAATATGATTTCAAAAACAATTAAATTTAGTTCAAAACCTGAAGAAAGCATCAAAAAGAGAAAAGGAAGGAGCGGAAGAAAAAAAGAACCAAAGTTTTAATAAAAATACAAAAAAAAGATTTCTACATGGCCTTTGAAGAATAGAGAAATATGATTGCTCTTGCTAGACACCTCTTTTAGAATTTATAAAAATCTATCCTGAAAAGTTAAAAGAAGTAGTCCTAACAGTAACAGCTCTTCCTCCTATTCAAGTCAGTGTAGAGAGACTCTTCTCAGCTCTGAAGTTTATCAAATTGGATCTATGGTCTTCTAACAAAGAAGATTTTGTTGAAGCTATACTGTTTCTTATAAATTACTAATGTCAGTTTTTCCACATCATAATAAATGTGAATTAATATAAATAATTTGCTATGCCATCAATTTTTTTCCGTAGCATACATTACTTCTTTTATATTAAAAACATAAGCTGTAGCCCATGTGAATATGTTTACATATATATGAGGGAGTCGGAGTCTTTAAAATTCCAGAAGTCAGAGTCGGTCATTTTCCCTACCAACTCCATAGCCCTGGGTATACATCCTGTTTGGTGTGGAAAATTTTGTTTGGATTGCAACTCGAGTTTGATGAATTATTAGTCTAGCACTACAGGTGTTTACCTCTTTCAAGACAATGCTATGACCATGCATGAGTATTCAATAAAGGACTCGCACTATAACTTTGAATTTTCAAGAAATTTTGTTTTTTTTCATGTAAATTTTTTGTAAACAGTAAGTTTAAAGAAAGTTATAGAGAAGAGTAAAGTAATGAAAAACATTGTTAGAACCATCATGGAGGTGGAAGAAGAAATTGTTCAAAAGTATGAAGATGACTTGCATATATAAAGTATGTAACTTGGCTGTTGCATACTGTATATCAAATAAAATGGTGTCTATAGCTTTGAAAAACAATGTTCTTGCTGAAGATAGCTCGAACTTATTCAATGATACTTAACTTCAGTAAGTGGACTGTAATATTAACAATAACAATTTTATTTTAATAAAAACAACATTATTGAATACTAGCACACGCATGTGCTTATAGTTACCCATGTAACTTAGCTAAGAGCGAGCAACCATATGCTCTTACATCAAGTCAGAAATCATTCATACTAAAAGCAAAAACGAAATAACTTTAGGGTTACACTAAAGCCAAACTCTGCTTGGCATAAAACAATGCTGCCAAGCAATACTCGGTTGATCTTTACAATATGGTAACTGGTAGTTTGGCGACATTTTGGAGGCGATAAAGGTTACTACCTGGCACTTTGGTAACAATGTGAGCAGTACTCAGTTCCGATTACGCATTATTTTGTGTGAGGGAAATAAGAGATCATGGGATATGTCATGTGATATTAATGGACGAATTACAGTTCTTAATCGGAAAAAAGGGGGAAATCGGGAAAAATCTGGAAATTTTTGTATTTGGCTTTATTCTGTGTTGTGTGAACAGTGTTCGTGAATTTTTGGATCCCATGGCCGTAACTAAAGTGAATTCGAAATGGGTTATTTATGTATATATTAATTTAATGTATGTGCTCATTTATATTTTAAGTAGTGTTTTTGAATTTAATTATATTTTAATTAAATGATAGTTATTTTTGTGAATTTTATGTTTGTAGGAATTTGGTATACGTTTTAGTTGAAGTAAACGTGCATGGAAATAATTTAAATATCTTGACACTAAGTATTTGTAATGCTTGCGGTATGAATTCGTTGGTGACGTGTATAATGTAATAGATGATTTAGAGGTAAAAGTTTTTGGATATTTTATTTATTTTATATGTGGAAATGTTCATTACTTTTTTGCGATCAGGTAATTTCATATATGTTCTTTTTACCGGGTTTAAAGATTGAGAAAATTGTCATGTATTTTCGTAAAAATTTTTCTAATTAATGAGAAAAAGCAGTGTACATGGATATAGTGAAGAGTGTGCGCAATGCCATTTTTGTGCAATTCTGGGATGTTTTTTTAAGTAAAAATAAGTCGACGTGTATTATTTATTTATTTTATATGTGGAAATGTTCATATTTGGAAAGGGTAAATACTTTTTCGCGATCAGGTAATTTCATATATGTTCTTTTTACATGGTTTAGTGATATTTTAATTAAATGATAGTTATTTTGTGAATTTTATGTTTGTAGGAATTTGGTACACGTTTATGTTGAAGTAAACGTGCATGGAAATAATTTAAATATTTGATACTAAGTATTTGTAATGCTTGCGGTATGAATTCGTTGGTGACATGTATAATGTAATAGATGATTTAGAGGTAAAAGTTTTTGGATATTTTATTTATTTTATATGTGGATATGTTCATATTTGGAAAGAGTAAATACTTTTTCGCGATCAGGTAATTTATATATGTTCTTTTTACCGGGTTTAAAGATTGAGAAAATTGTCATGTATTTTCGTGAAATTTTTCTAATTTATGAGAAAAAAGCAGTGTACATGGATATAGTGAAGAGTGTGCGCAATGGCATTTTTGTGCAATTCTGGGATGTTTTTTTAAGTAAAAAATAAGTCGGCGTGTACATGGTTTATGTGTATGTGTTATTTTGAAAAACGCGTAAAGAGTATGGTATTGTGCACTTTTTCCCAATTTTGCAGTGAATATTTGTCATGATTAAGCAGTTTTGTTAGATAAAATTTCTAGCATAAGTGTAATTCGGCTAGTAGATTGTTGGAAGAAGTGTTCAGTAGATAAAAAGAAAAGAAACATGTCTTTACTTCGTGAAGACAAAATGGCGGCGGGGAAAAAAATAGAGGGTTGCTGTAGGAGAGTTGGTCGCGAAATTTTCGCCAAAAAAACGCCAAGTTACCATAATGTAAAAATCAACCCAATACTCTTTCAGACACCGAACAAACAAAGATGCCTTTAAATCGGCTAACATTACCGAACACATGAAATTGATCGAAAGGACAGAGAGATTAAATTACTTCTAAAAGTTAATGTAAAGAAATTGCTTTCGATCTGGATAGCCAAAAACATTTGTATAGTATCATGTGCAGTGTTCCATATATGTATACCTTGCACACACACACAAAAAAAGGCAGTTCTATATCTCCCGCTCTACTAGACCAGTTGTCGAAATTTAACTTGTGTTTTCCGTGTCTTGAAAGCACAACTTAGGATACAGTCAAAAGTTGTTAACCCGGACTCGTCGGGACTCCGGATTATAGATCATCAGTTTAAATCTGGTAAGATGGCATGCAAAAATTATAAAATTAAAAATATGATACCATAATTTATTAAATAAAGAACAATTATGATCTAAAGGGTATCAAAATTACAAAAAAAAAAAAAAAAAAAAAAAAGCTTAATACTTATTTGTTTACTTTATTAAACATTTCTTTCAATGTAAGTTGTTTAAGTTGCTTCGTTTTTTATGTGATAATACTTTCTCTTTAATTCTATAAAGAGACATAATTTCTTGTTCAGTTACAAAGTTCCACTGTTCAAGTCCTATAACTGCTGTGTCGAGCATACCGACTAATTTGTCAATCGAAATTCTTTCGTTTTCGAAGAAAGTGACCTCTGTGTCACTTTCTTCGCTATCAGAAGCAAATTATAATGAGGAATTGGATTTAAATCATATCAAAGACGGAGTACATCGAGATGAAATACTACATTTAGTAAGGAATTATAAGCCAAATAAAATAAAAACATCTGCCCTGAAGATAAGGATAGTGCTGAGAGATCAACTTCCAGTTCATTGCACGCCGCCACTTTCCCTTCCCCCCCACACACACACACGCAGAGCAGCGTGAAATTGATAAACAGATTTCGGAATGGTTAGATAAACAAATCCATTATCCTTTATCCATTTTTTGCAGCAATTCCACTTTTTGTTTAATGGACTTCGAAACATACTTTCGCTTTGTAGATCCTTTACATATTAGTAAATATATATCAGGAATTCTATTTGACATAATCGAAAGTTCAAGCTTACTTTTATAAAATTGCTCTAACAGTCTGCAAAAAATAATAAGCCGGATCCAATTCGAAGATTACGGAACAACACAATCTGCAACATTAACTGAATTAGATAATTTTAGCTTAGCTTATACCGTCCATTATACATTAAACGCGCATTCGTAAACATATTTTGCGCATGCGCACACGCATATTCGCAGCCGTAAAGGTCTTACGCGCAGAAAGTTTGTAGCTTTGAGGTCCGGATTATAGATCATTCCGGATTATGTGTGTCCGAATTAATGACTTTTGACTGTATATATATCAGATATACATACAGCATTATTTTAATGTAGGTATTTTTACACAAAATCAGACTTTTTCAGAAACAGCATACCGATTTTTTTCCATATTTCGATTCTACTACTACTCAACTCATTATACCTAGATATTAAATTCTGCAATTTTTGGCGAGAAATTTATAGAGCAATTTAAAAATTTATCTTGGCTTATTTTTTTCAGTTTGTGCTAAGAATAATTCATTTGGCAAACTTGTAATTTATAACTACATATTTTCCTTTCCCTTTTTATTTTTTTAATCCTAGTATAAGGTACACGCGAGTTTGGCGACACTATGATGATCAGTAAACGTCGTGTTTTGGTGTTGCTGACTAAACCGCACCAAGGCCGTACCGTACCATATACTAGGATTTTCCCCCTGGAAGTTGCTCAAAATTTTATTTATAATTTAAATTTATTTGCATGTCAAACATTAAAAATGCAACACTATATCTATATTATTTCTTTTGCACACAGCTTTAAAACACTGCTAAAATGCCAAGGGGAAAATACATAAGATAATTCAAGGGGGGGAAATTATACTCACCAACAACTAAATGAGTTACACTTTTAGTCAAGTCTTTACTAAAGAAGCCACCCATAAATTCCACTTTTTTACTTATGTCTTCTCGAGATTTGGTATCAATGTTTGAACATGAAACTGTGATCTTACGCATTGAAACACTATAAACAGGATAAGGTCGTTTGGGTAAAACATCTTCACACTTGAGACAATACAAAATACACAGAGGTCCAACTATTCTGCAACTAACTGATTTCAAATGCTCATACACTTCGCCCTCAAACGGATCTATTACAAAGAGTTTTGGTTCTTTTTTCGTAATTTGCAAACATTCTTGAGCTGAAATCCATACTGGATCAATCTGGTTTGATTCCATAGCTTCGAAAGCAAGCTGAAGTTTTTCAGTAACATCATTAGCAGAACTACCAGTTTGAACAAAGCAAACTTCATATTTAGTATTTTCGGCAAAGCTGGTCATGCTGTTGACAGGTTAAAAAGTATAGTGTTTCAATTGTTCTAAAAATTCATATTCTCAAATAGATGAAATGTTCTACACTGATCGTGGGAAGCCAAGATTTCTTTCTCATTTTTACTTCATTATGAAAGTAATCACGAACAATAATTTGGAAAATAAAGATAATTTTATAGATCAATCACATACAATAAGCATAACAGTTGAATTACTTTGTCGATCATAAATTTGATAACATCTAATGATTGATTCCCATAAGTTTATGATCATAATGTTTTAAATCTGTTGAACAAAATGAATTATTAAGGTATTACACTGAAATATGATTGGAATCATACCATACGACACCCAAATATAACACTTCACATTCGTAAACAAAAACGTAAATCAACCGCTAAAACGCTGATGCCATCTTCAATTGATTTTAGGTTTCATAGCCTGAATAATTTTCAAAAAAATAAAATAAGCCGCAAAAAGTAAATCGTAAAAATATAAACGTTTTAGCTAATAACGTTCTACGTTAATTAAAAAACAGTTTTGTATTAAAATAATTTTTTTAACTTCTTTTGACGTTTGAGAAAAGTGGCACAAATTTGTAATCAGAAGGATGGGGAATAAGAATTATTAATGCTTAAATTTGCTGTGCTCGAGTGGCAATGTTGTTATTGAGAATATGGCACCCGTAGGAAAGAGTGTTAGGTCGTCTGCTAAGGAAGATCTGAAACAGCAGGAAATAACCCAAGCTGTTGTTATCGCTGATAACTTCAGTGATAAATTTTCTCCATTAACATTGGAAAAACCTGCTGTGAGTTGGTAGATATTCGTCATCTCATTTTACATCCGTACTGATTTTTATGCAGGATCTTTTCAATGAACTAACCCAAAAAATAAACACTCTTAACACAAACTCGGTCCCAGGTCTGAACGAGGGAGTAAAACCAGTGGCGGGGCAGATGATTGTTTACGGTTGCAAATCCTAAAATTCCATCTTTCCGGAAAATCACTGATCAATGGCAGTTTGTCCCTGTTTTGGGATAGACTCAGATTGTTTTAGAAACCAATGCACCATTATTATATGCTGGCTTATTTTATAGTTATATGCAGTTTAATTTTATGTTCATGTTATTGTAGTATTGTCATTATAATAAAAGTATTGATAATTTTTGTTGAATCTTCCAAGTTGCCCAACGCGATTTCAGGAAGTTCGCCAAGTGCCGGTTATCTGAGTATCCCCCTGTCTTGTGCCTGGGAATAGGCTTATTACAAGGGATTCGACTTAAAATGAATACAAACCGATTTATTGTTGAAAACCCACAAAGTTGCGCATTTTAAACCAAATTGCCTTGCGTACTCTGTCGAGATCAGCCAACCACTTTATTCAGTTTGGTTGGTATCTTCCTTTTATGCCCTATGAGTTGTCTGTCTTATAAGGCCTTTAAAAGAATCCTTTGTTGAAGAGGTTTAAGTTGCTAGCTATAAAGAATTACTAAGGACTAGATAGAAGCTTTTAAATATGACCTCATGTCCAGTGGCGTAGTTGGAGGTAGGCAAGAAGACAGTTATTCCTGGGCACATCTTTCATAGGGGTCCAAATTGATGTTATTGAATTGTAAAATGAAATTTCCATTCTTAGCAAACAGGATATACGACTACGAAATCTTCAGTGGTCCCTGGGTACTGGAAACCTTAGTTATAGCTTTGTTATGGTGTTTGAAATAATTCAAAATGAACAGAGCTCTTTTATGTAAGGAATCACTGTGTAGAAATAATTATTAAGTGATGTTGATTTAATTACAGCTTAGAATGATTATGATTTTGAATTAATTTATGCAATATATTTATATTGTATCATGTTTGTGCATTTTTATTATTTTTGCCTATACTACAATCAAATGACATTTATAGTTTCTTTGAGTTTTTATGTAGTACTTTGTGAATATACGATATAATTCATGTATCCCAAGGATAATTAATTCATGCTGGCACTAGGCTAATATATTTTTATACATTTTTACATAGTACCATATTATTTTTCTTTTTGGTACACCATATTAGTAATTGCATATTAATGCCACCGCAGCTCTAGATTTGGCAGTTTCAAGTACCGCCAATCTACACCTAAAATTTTTGCTACAAATCATAAATTAAAACAACTTTATTTAAAATCAAAATACTTTCAAAAATCGAAGTAGTCAATAGGATTTCGGTGGAAAATGGGCTGATATAAAGTTTAGCATATATTCAAAACAGTCTATTTTCTTTGACCTGATGCTGTCGCCATATGAACTCTGCTAAATAAGATTCTGATAATGTCTCTCTGTCTCCCTATTGTCTTGTTCCTCCATTTAGCACTGCCACACATTCTGTCAACTGTTTGTGTATGAATTCCTGTAAACAGGATCAATAAAATTGTATTTATGATTAACTTTAGCATGTAGGAATCCTTCTTTTTCTTGTGCTACCATCTGCAATAATTATATTAAGAAGGGTAGAGCCAGTTCTATTTGGAACAGTGACAGCAAACAAATCTTTTGTTTCTCTACGTATACCACCAAACACCCACTGTTCCGGTAATACTCAACCACAATTATTTTTGTGCTTAGTAAACAAACTTTCATCAATTTCCACAATGTAATATGGTCCACATACCTTCTTGTTTGGTTTATTCGCCATATTCAAAACATGTATTGGCACACCAGACTCTTTATTGGCACAACTTCTGTTGCGGTGGCATAAATACGTAAGTACCACTATATTTTATATTACAATTGAGGTTTTTTTTCTAATTAAATTCATAGTTTTATCTAAATTCATTACTTCTAATATTTTTTGTTTCAAAACTTTAGTTACTCTAGTGGTACAGATTTTAAGAACTAACTTCTCTTTTATTTATTATTAGATACTCTTCTGTTATCAGGACTGGATACTTATTTAATGTTTTTTGGATCAAAATTTTTATTTATTATTTTTGCTTTGGTTTTTACCTGTGTTTTGAACTCAGTCTGCTTAAATTGAAAACTGTTATAATTATTTGAATTTTAAACTTTTTTTCATGTTTATGATTTTGATGCTGTGTTTTTTCAAATGTGTTTAACCTGTGAGGTTTTTCTGAATTTACATGTGTTTCTCTTTTTGCATGTGTTAGATTGCTTGTATTTGCAGGTTTTGTTTTTTTAACTTGATCTGCCCAAAATAATATTTTAAGCTTTTTTAAAATTTGTTTATACTTTTGGTGCTATAATTTTGCAATTGTTCATACTGCTTATTTCAGCGTTTAGGGTCTTTCATTGCACAAACTTGCTGATGATGATATAGCAAAAAATGTAAATTCATTGTTTCATTTTTGGTCTTTTTTCTTGCAGTGTGCCGCTGTGCTTCTGATATTTGGTTTGGTAAATGTATATTTACGGTGCCCCTTGGCGAAAATTTGCAGGTTTTGGTGGTACATGGATATCGAGTATATGCAATTCTTTGACTTGTTATTTTGGCTTTGTGTAGTGGCAATTTTTGCTACAACAAAAAATTGCACAAACTCGGTATCCATGCACACATTGACCTATTTTCACTTAAAAACATCAGAGAATTGCACAAACTTGGCATTGTGCACTCCCTTGACTTTATCCATATACACTTTAACCTATTTTCACTTAAAAAAACATCAGAGAATTGTACACTCCCTTGACTTTGTCCATTTCACTATAAGGTATTTCTCCCGCCTTCCTAGCGAGCCTTTGTGGTGTAGTGGTTGTGCATGCTGGGCTGGTATTCCAGAGGTTCGGGTTCGATTCCTTAAGTGGTTGTTAATTTTTTTCTCTAGACTTCCAATTAACCGAATGTCTCTACAGGCACAAAAAAAGGTGTTGGATGATGATTCTCCTCACCCGGATTGGCGATTGGGTCCCCTAAAAACCTATTAGCCCTTAAAAGGATACAGATATATGGTATTTTCTAGCCTTTGTGGGTAGTGTTGCTGCTGGCCTTTTCCAGAGGTCCGGGTCGATTCCAGTGAAGGCGATTGCTCATTTTCATTTGCCTGTTCCAAAAATCCTAATGTCTCTACAAACACAATGATCTATATCACATTAAAAAGCAAAGGAGCAGCCAACAAAAAATATATAATCTCAATAAACTACATTTTAAATCAAGCAATCAAATAACATAAAAAAGGAAATTCATCTTAGCACTAACACAAAGGAAATAGCCACTTACCTTACTTTCTTCAGTCAAACAAACTTCCCTTTCTTCAGTCAAACAAAATTCTTTAACAGCATCCAAAAACTTCTTAAAACTATCTGAACTAGAATCTGCATACTGGCGACACCACATAAATTCATAAAAATATGAGTAAAAAATATCCTTTATAGTTAGCGTTGCCACCTCCTGGCTGTCAAAATCCGGGAGGAGGAAAAAAAGTTTCCGGGAGAAGGAAAAAAGATTTTTCCAGTCACAACTGAAAGCAGCTCCGCCTCCTTAATATCATTTAAAAGTATTTATTGAGCTGCAGGAGCAAGCACATTCTCGCAAATACTTATACATTTTGTTCTACTACAAGAAAAATGTTTTGCCAAAGAAGAATCTGAAAAGTGTTGTACAATTTGTTTGTGCAATCCTGGCTATTAAAACTATGATGGTGCTTAATCCCATGATAGACTGAAATAATTTCAAGTTCTGATATATTGTCCTCTTCTTTTGAAGATTTCATCACAAAAAAGTTCAAAACCAATTGTGCAGAATCCCTATTCAAAATTAATGATTGGTGTTTGTTTCTTTGGGAATGTACAGTTATAGCTCTAACACCCTCGTACTTAATATTAACCATTTTCTGACATAATTTACATTCTTCGTGAAATTTGCCACTCTTCATAAGCCAATCAAATTGAGTTAACCACTTATCTTGAAACGACATCGAATATTTTGTCTTTTTTTGTGGCACTTGTTCACTTGCGGAATCAGAATAATTTTTTTCACTAGACATTATTATGAAAGCATTTAATAATTTCAAAATACACACTTATTCATGGGTAGCTAGCTAACTGCAGACTAAATGAAAGGATAGATTGAAAATGAGAGTGTGAGGGGGTATGAAGGCACGTGCTCGAGTCACACTGGCATGAAACCACGACTCATCCGTTAAACATTTACTCAATGCTCACCATAGATCACTGCTGCAAAGAATATATATTGACGTAGAAACTTTCTTTGGCAGCTGTGCGCGGTCATGAGATTTTCGATATTCTCAAACATTTCGTCCATGCGCATTGTATCGTTATTTTCGAGAAACTTAATTTTCTGAAAGAGTAATATTTATTTTAAATTCCTTCTGTGAGCCAGGAGATTTTAATTTTCTGGGCTCAATTCCAGAAGAAGTGGGAACCTTATTCATAGTGCCGGTATCCTCCAACATTCGACCATGCGCATTTCCTTTCTACAAACAGGACGCTTATGTAATGGCTTCTAAGTAAACTTTCATTTACACACCACTCAATGCTCTTTTCCCCTTTCATTCCAAATTATACAGAAACTTCAAATTAATCTTACCTTATTCATCCATTCTACCGTTTAAACCACAAAAGAAGCAGTGTACTTCCTAACCAACACGCACCACAAGTCCTTACAAATCTTTTCCCATAATTCAAAATTTACGGCAATTACACAACCGATTATGTCATTATAGGGTTTCCATAACATTCAACTACTCAGGTTACCATAAAATGAAACAACAACTTGTCGATAAATGAAACAACAATTTCGCAATAATACAAGGGGCACCCATTGGTCTAATCTTTAATCTTTGGTTTCTGCATATGTTTATTCCGAAATAAATGTGGGATAAATTTTAAATTTATCATTCTAAAATTTATTCTGCATTTAATATATATTATATATATATTAATATTTGCAGTAAAATACAATAAAGTGTGAAAACTTTATTAATTTAATGTTCTGTGGCACATTTTGAATAGCTGATAAGCTTATAATGTATGGAAAATGTTTCTGTGATTTCTTTTTTTTTTTATGAATTTGTATAATTTTTCAAAATATTCTGATACTAATCATTATCTGATTCAAACTTTTTTATAATGGAATAATAATAAAGTGATATATTTTATGCTTTAATAACTTTCATTTTCTTATAGGTGTTTCTTCCTCTGGTTAATAAAACTCTTCTAGATTATATTTTGCAATCTTTAGAGGAATGTGGAATACAGGAAACATTTGTATTTTGCTGCTCTCATAATCAATTAATCCGAAGCTATGTTAGGTATGTATGTTGTATGACTTTAATTACTAAAGACTAGCTTTCAATAGAATTTTGTTACATTATGTTGGCAATTCTGAAAACAGAATGATAGCCCTTTTGGATACAAAATAGATACCAAGTAATAACACACTGTTACATATTATTTCAACATAATGCATGGTTAAACATCTGTTTTAACTGTATATCTAGCAAGCACAGAATAAATCAGCATTAAATCCTGAATCCAAATGTCTTTTTGAGAGAAATCCTGGTCATTTTCTGTAAATCGCCTTACAGTAAAGCTTCAGTATGTCACAATAACTGGCATCATTCATAATAATTCTTCTATTAAGAGAAGGATACTTGTCAGTTTTATTTGCAACCAAAGCACCGAGGAAAAAATGTTATCAAGTATAGGTGCCATACTAAAAAAAAAATAAGCAACACATTTAAATAATGGAATTTAATGGAAATATGTATATATATCTATATGTAAGATAAAAAATATGTAAATCAAAATTATAATTTAAAGTAAGGTAAACTCTTTTAATTCTTCCTCTCCGTTTTTAAAAATCGTAATAACTTCTCTGGATTGCATCATTTATAGATCATTCCATTTTGCATGTCCTGCGCAGCACTGATGACATAATAATTGGGAACTGAAACTCAAACCAAAACTTTACTCTTTGTTTGCTTCCATATTGCATAATTACGTACTTCAGCTTCAATCTCTACCCTGTTAGGATGTAATTTCGCTGTGCGTGTAAAACAGCCTACTTTATTTCCTCAAATACAAATTTTCACTTTAAAACTTATAATTTATTTTTTAGATGGCCATAAAGATCTATTTACCAATAATATATAGATCTTACCACTGTCAGGAATGTGATTTTTGAAGCAGCAAACCAGTTGCCAATGAGAAGTGGGTTTTCTTTGTTTTTCACATTGGAGTAGCATATAACTTACCCTGTGATAAATGCAAGTTATCGCAAATTTGGGTTGAAAGTAAAACTTCCCTTTCTTGGAGGAATGCAATAGCTTCATTTTCATGTAATGCTAAATTTTAAATTGTCATAATTTTGAATCCAGGAAGAAATGGGCACTTTTCCATTAAAGCACTTCCTATTCCACTTGGCACTTATTTATTTATTTATTTTGCTGTATTTTCTCAGAAAATAGGTTGCACCAGTTTAGTTTGACGTTTTTCCCACTGATGCATATAACCACTGTTCATGCAGTCACATTTTTACCTGATCAGTTTGTTAACCATGGTCACCAGCAGCCGAGCACTCAAGTCATTGAACATTGGTAGTTTGGTCCAAGGTTTGAATCCCACAAATGGGCTGGCTGCATGGGCATTTTTATGGTTTTCCCAATGTGTAACTTGTATATGAGCCAGTTTCTCTTAGAAAGTCCTCCATGAAGGCAGCCCTCCCCTTAGGCAGATAGCCCTTGAGGTTTTGCTGTAATCACATAAACCAAATCAAACCATTCTGCTTCTCCACCTTAGTAGATTTCATGACTTAAGGTTTGTTAAGTGACACCTTGTGGCTATCATGTTTCTTCAGAAAAGTGATGTTCTTCATGCAAAAGATAAAATACTTAAAATAAATGAAAACATTGTGTTCAAATAATTACCTTATGAAATTAAAGTGTAACTGAAAGCTGAATTAGCTATTTAGCCTCTAGTCAGGAAGGAAAGATGTTCAAATACAAATGTGAGTTGTTGAATTATGCATTCCTTTTATTACTGCTAAGTCATTTACATATGGTGCCAGTAGTTAATGCCTGATGAATCTGCCAAACTTTAAATGAAATTGTCCTTCAAATGAATCGCAACGTAACAGTTGACTGGAATTGTTATATAAAAGAGACTTGTATGTCAATTCCTTGTTATCTGATCCTAATATTAAAATCGATGGATGCTGCGCAACTGTGGAAATTGAAGACAGCTAATTCAAAACAAGTAAAAATGAAGTGAGCTATGTTCTTCACTCCATAATAGGTTTTTAAGGATTTTATTTTGAAATTAGAGAATGTTTCCTCATTTCTGTTCGTAACCATTTTTTCTCCATCTAGTAGTATCAAACTAGAAGCACGGGGAACGAAATAAGCCAAAATACTATATATTTTGGCTTATTTCAAATATGACATTTAAAATGTGGGGTATTGCTTTAACAGAAAAATACCAAATTGATTTTATAGCTCTTATCACTTGGTTTCGGTTTTGCTATATTGTTTGATAAAAAATGCCTCTTAATTTGGCAATTAACTCCCAGTTGTTGACTTGATGTTTTATTTTTGTCTTTTTCTCATGCAGATTAGATCAGAGGTCAATGGCGGTAAACTAGTACGATTACTGCTGATTGGCTGATGCATAGTGTTGGTCAATTATGTGTATTTATGCGTCAGAATCGGCGAATTTGAAGAGATTCTCTGGTTATTTTTTTCACATTGGCTTTAATATAAGGGCTATTGTTGTGTAGCCTAGTTGCTTTAATTTAAGTTATGGAATAAATATTAGTTTTATTTTGTACTAGCCTCTACGCTAGACTACATTTAAAAGCCTTTGTCTGGCTTTTAAATTTTGTCTGGCTTTGTCTGGTATTTTTCCGGTACATTTAGAAGCCTTTGTCTGGCTTTTAAATGTACCGGAAAAATACCTAAAGGGAACATCAGACATTAAATTTAAATCTGCACATAATTTTGCTCTGCAGAACAGTTTGATCAAAATTTAAAAAAGAACACAAATTTCAATAAAAATATATTACATATGAAAAAAATTAAAAAATAATAATATAATTAAATATAATTTTTTGAAAAAAAATCACTTAGGTGCACTGGCTCTTGTCTAGATGCACCTATGTACCAAATTTCATAGCCCTGGGTCTATTAGCTTATGTGCAGCATGAAGAAAAGACACACACACGCACACAGACAACTCCAACACCAGTTACTAGTGAAACCAACAACTGCCAAGAAATTAACTAGTAGTATGCCTTGATAATTCTAGAAAATTATCAGTTAACTTTCTGGATGGATAGAACTGCTCTGAATTTCTTGGAAAGGGGAGATAATGAATGTGTCCATGAGATGCAGATCCTTGCTTCTTCCCAAGTATCGCATGATGTACCTATGTTTCATCTCCTGTGAGCATATGCTGTAGAAAAGGAATGATTTCCCCAAGCCATATTATGTGCATGAGATGCAGTTCCATCTTGCAACTTTATTATCATGAGTGGCTTAGATATCCAACAGGAATGCATCTTCTAGTAGCCAGTTTGCTAATGAAGGATAATATGCACTTAGCTGACTGAGATATTGAATTCATTAGCAGTATTGTTGAATCTATTAGTGGTATTGTTGAGTTTGGGGTCTATGTAACTGCTAAACACCCATTTATAAAAATAAATTATTTTAATAAATCAAAATATGTACATAGCATTAGAATAACATTAATCTCAGCAATGAATAAAATGTGTACACGAACTTGTAAAAACAGAAGGGAAGAGTTCTTTTTTGAAGTTGCGCAGAAATGAGATTCTTATCGTGCATGTGCTAGGAGGAGAAATCGAGGTGTTGAACAAATGTGGGGGGGGGGGTTAAAGGTAAAACCCCATATCATCCTACTTCCTGGGGGGAAAAAGCACTAAAAAATCTGAAAAAGAGAAAAAATTTGTTGCACAAATTGTTTTGGAACGTGAACACATCTTGAACAAGTCTGGTAATTTACTTTCGCAGGAGCACTTTTTCAGGTGACTGTTCATTTACTGGACAGGCTAGTTCCTGTGATGAGGCCTTGTCAACATCGGTTAAACTAGGAGGTTCAGATACATCATCTAGGACCAAATAAGGAGGTTTTACCCTGTCGATAGACACAGTGATATCATGTCTTTTTTTAGAGATTGTAAAAGTTTTATTACTACATTGAAGCACTTTGTAAGGGCCAGTGTATGGTGTATGCAACGAGGGTTTTACTGCGTCTACATGCAGAACAACTGAGAACATTTATTTAAGTCTTCGTACACAAAGATCTGTTTTTTGGAGTGATTCGTAGTAGCAGTCGGTCGAAGGTGTTCTATATGGTCATTTAATTTTTGTAGGATGTCATTCTTCAGATTGTTGTTGTCGGGAGGCATAAAAAAATTCTCTTTGAAGACGTAAAGTTTGACAATACACCAGCTGGACTGGAAAGCAGTTAAGTTCCTTTTTAAAAATGGTCGAAAGTCCTAAAAGAACTGAAGGTAATGCAGTAGTCCAATGTACAGCTATATGACACATTATGAACTGTTTAAGCAATCTGTGCCATGTTTCAGTAATGCCATTCATTGACTTGTTTGTGGTAAGTGGTGCTATGAGAAAGGCAAATGCTGAAATTTTTAGCTAGTTCTCGAAAGAATTCACTTCGAAATTGACTACCATGATCAGTGATGATCTGGGCAGGCACACCGAATCTTGAGATCCAGCGTGCATAAAGAGCAATAGCGACAGTCTCTGCTCATGCATCTTTCAATGGATGCGCTCAGGGCCAGCGAGTATACCTGACAATGCATGTCAAGCGGAAAGACATTCCTTGAGATGAAGAAAGAAGTCCACTCAGATCTATATTGAAACTTGGTACTGAAAGTAAGCACCAAAGGCGGATTCGCTCTACATTCTATAGTAATCATTTTCGCTCTACATTTCTATAGTAATCATTTTGTTCCAAAATTATTTTCAAAAATATTTACTAGGTGTTTTTGTTTAGATGTCAAAATGGGATTTTCTGCAAATTTACTTTTATGAGTACAAGCTAGGCCACAGCGCCGCAAAACGGCTCAAAATGTCAACGAAAGTATAGGCGAGAAAGTTTAATGATCTATTAGTTCAATATATACCAAAGTTTCGTGGTGGAAATGACCTGAAGATCAAAGCATTATAGACGCTCTTCAGCTGTTGATGACGGCGATTTGAAGACTTTAGTTGAAACAAAACTGTGCATAACTGTTCAAGAGCTTGGCGTAAGCAAAATAATGATTTCTGATCACTTGAATCATATGGGAAAGTCAAAGAAGTAGGTGTCTCACGAATTGAGCGAAAATAAAAAAAATTGCCGTTTTGAAGTGTTGTCTGCTCTTCTTCTCCGCAACAAAAGTGACGTTTCTCTTCATCGAATTATTACATATGATGAAAAGTGGATTCTCTCCAACAACTGGCGACACTCAGCTCTATGGTTGGACCACGGTCAGACTCCATAATACTTTCCAAACAATTTGCAAAAAAGAAAATTGGTGTCTGTTTGGGGTCTGAGCGGTCTATCCACTACAGCTTCTGAAATCTGAGCGAAACGCTTACAGCAGATAAGTACTGTCAGCAAATTAATGAAAATGCACCAAAACATTGCAACGCATGTGCGTCATTGGTCCCAATGGCCAGTTCTTCTCAGACAATGCTCGGCCCGCACGTCGTGAACTGCCCTACAGATTGGACGATTGGGATACAGACGCTCCTCTTTCCCCATATTCGACTGACCTCTTGCAACCAATTACCCTTTTCAAACATTGGATAACATCTGCGAAGAAAGCTTCAGTAACCAAGACGAGGTCAAAAGCCTTTGACAAATTTACTGCGTTAAACCAGAATATTATTCTACCGGCATAAATAAACTTATATTCATTGCCAAAAAGCATGATCAGCTGGTGCTATTTTGATTAATAAAATGTTTTTGGTTGAGTTATGATACTTAAAGATATAGGTTAAAAACCTGCATTATTTTTCAGACAACCTAATATCAATTATTTTCATGTCAGATGTTAATCATCTTTACTTAATGCATCTTTTAATGTTTGTGCTAATTAAATTGTGGAATATTAACAGTCCTTTACTACAAACATTGGTTCCATCAATTAAGAGTGGTTCTGTTAAAAAAAGGAATTTTAGTTATTGTTTTTCTTAATTTTTTAAGGTCAACATTTTGTGAAATTCTCACACTTCTTTAGCATCAAAAAGACTAATGATTTATGTGCATTTTGAATTGAAAATGATAATAGTATTGTAGAAGTACTGTCATCTGAATGAAAGTGTCAATACATATTGTTATTTTCTTAATAGTGAATCTCGATGGTCTGATCCTTCTTCATCTATGTCTGTGACAGTTATCAGTTCTACAAGTTTTATGTCAATGGGTGATATAATGAGGGAACTGGATTCTAAAGCTCTCATACGTTCAGATTTTGTGCTTCTTCGAGGAGATGTTATTACCACTTTTGCACTTAGCAATATATTGGAAGAACACAGGTATAGTTTTAATTTGGATTTTGTTTTTATTTTTATTATTCTTTTATATATTAATATCAAAATTTAAATTCATAAATTTCAAAGAGACAAATCTTGTGCATGACATATCTTGCACTTAACTAAAATTGATTTTTTGTATTTTTGAATCTGACTGAAATATACTTGGTAAAATTTTGTTAACAGTGTGTTATATAAGACGAAATTCTATCTTTAATTTGTAATTATCTCTGTAGTCTTCTTTTTGAATTTGTTATTTCTTCTTTTTATTCAAAAAATAGTACGTTCTTTATAATAAAACCTTCTGAAATGCTTATGTCATTTCAAAATTATTCCTTATCACATGAATTTTTTGTAACATAAATGATTCATGCATTTACAAAGCATCAAAAGAGAAAAGAAAATCTTTCATCAAATCATATTCAAATGAAAATAAATTTATAAATAAACAATGAAAGTAACTTATTATCTTAAAAAAAAAAAAAAAAGTATCTTACATTAAAAAGAAACAAACATAATATGGAAATTCAGTGCATAATGTAGCCCTTCATGTGGCTGAGTAGTTAAAACTGCTTAATGATGGAAGTTTGAGCTGGTTTAAAGGGCAGGATGGTTGCATGGTGGATTTTACATGGTTTCGATATGCGCAATATGTATACAAGCCAGTGTTATGTATTCTTCACCAAGGCATCCCCCCTTTAAGCAGATAGCTATTATGTGTGTTACCTTCACTCAAATAACCTAATCTAATACTATATAATTAATGTATTGTAAAAGTTCCAAAGCTTTCATATAACAGAACTCGGCACATATTATCAAAATTGTGATGTTAAAAAATAAAGTTTGTAAATTTATATGACTACTTTTATGACTGTTTTGCTTTTACAGGAGTTTATGTGGTGTAGAGGTTAAATGATGCATGTGATGAATTAGGTTTTTTTTTTTTTTTTTTTCAAGTGTTTTAGTAAACTAATTTTGGAATATGTATTGCATAATTATATATTATTTTAGGAAGCGCAGACAAGAGGATAAAGGATGTGCCATTACTTTAGTGTACAGGAAAGCTTTTCCAAAGCATTCAACACGTTGTAAAGAACATGACTTTTTAATTGCTGTTGAAGCAGTTACACAAAAAATACGATTTTATCAAAGGATTAATAATAAAAAAATTTTGCATGTGCCTTTAGTGAGTATATTATTTTCATTATAATTTTTTATTCATTATTTTTATCTTTTAAAGTTTGTGAAATGGTGAAATAGTTATATTAAGATAACACTGTAAAGATATGTATCATCAGTCATTGGTGAAGCTTTGTGTTGCTTTTTTTGCAAATCATAAGATATTTAAGTTTCAAGTTTAACCAGAAAACTCAGCTATAGAAAAGTTTAACCAGAAAACTCAGCTATAGAAAAGTTTAACCAGAAAACTCAGCTATAGAAAAGTTTTTTGCCACTCTCAATATATTTGACTTTCAATTTTAATAAGCAAACTCAGTGATTTACATGAAATGATTTACCACTGCTTGAATTAAAATATTTTGTCTTCCATGTGTCAATGTTTTACCTTTAATCAAAGCATAAAATATTTAAATTTTCTTTAAAAATCTATTCTGTTGAACTAAGGAATTAAAAAAAAAAAATACAGATTAATTTTAGGTATTATTAATTCCTAACTGGACCTGTGAAATTGCAAAAATTGGATTCATTGAAATCGTCTATATATATGGTAACTTTTACCCGGAGAGAGAAAGTTAGACCTTCAAATTTTTGGAACAGAATTTTTATTTAATTTTTGTTCTGAACTTTATTTTTTGATTTATTATCATGTTACAATCTAGCAGCTGAAGTGTAGATTCGTCCCTTTTCTTTATTAATTGTTATTGTTTCAATGGTTACTATTCTTTAGAGTATATATATATATATATATATAAGAATTTCCATTTATTTGTGTGTGTATTTCATACAAATATACACTGTTATTATAAACTTGATGAAATTTTGCACACTTGACCTTCAAAACAAGAGGAAAGTCACTATCTACATTTCAAAAAACAATCTGCATTTAAAAATGGGGTCCGCACTCCGGTAATTTATATTAGATTGTTGCACTTGCATCACTAATCTTAGGTTCAAGTAACCATTATTACATTTCTGCTAACAGTGAAAGTCATATATGCTAAGTAAGGAATTTATAATTTTTGTTCCCTTGCAATATCAAGTATTAATATTTCTACACAGTTTCAATTTTGAAATTATATCACCCATCTTAGGTTCATATCACCATTTTTATGTTCATACTATCAGCTCTTGTTAAACCGTTAATTGACACTGTGTCTTTTTAGAGCAGTTTAAAAATTTCCAGAACAGTGCAGAACCTTTAAAGTAAAATGTCTGCTTTCTGTCAGTTTTTTTTTAAGTATTTCGAAAATGGTGAAAAAATTGGCCAAAATTGATGAAGCTCATTTCAAAAAAAAAAAAAAAAAAATCACATAGCCGATAACAAAGCAAGTACTAGTTCTCACTAAAATCATGGCATTGTGTTAGTTTTACACTGTTGTACAGTTTTGTTTGAGTTTATTAGAATATTGCTCATTTAGAATTGTGTTCTGTTCTTTGTTAAGTTGATGTCATTGTATGCAAGCGCTGAAATGTGAAATTCATCAATTTAGAATCATTCACTTATGTCACATAATCTCCTTCTTCTAGTGTACCTTAAAAAAAAATTTTTTTTATATACTACTGGAAAATTTGAGAATTCTATGGGAATTTTACTTACTTTACTTACTTTTATTTCTTTTCTTTTACACTGTGATTAGTTAATTTTTTTAAATGTACTAAATTTTAAAATTTCGTCTTAATTTCTATACTTAAGGAACTGAGTCGTCTGCTTTATATGAAGTATGAAAAGCAGTTGTATTTTTTATTAGATTCTGGGTTAAATGTAATGAATGATATTCTTCATAAAGTGATTTTTCATACTTATTGAGTTATCAGCAAGCAAACTTTTATTTGATTATCTTATTTTTATAACAAGCTCATTACTTTTATTATTTTCTAGGAAGTATTTCAAGAAAATGATGAAGTCACTATCCATTATGATCTTTTAGACTGTCATATTAGCATTTGCTCTCCTTGCGTTCCCCCTTTATTTTCAGACAATTTCGACTATCAGAATTTGGATGATTTTGTCAAAGGCTTAATTGTTAATGAAGAGGTAAATTATCATTTTGAGTGCTGTTATTTCATTTCAAGCTTTGTTGTTTTGTAAATAAATTTACTGATAGCTTAATGTTTTTAATATTGTTATCTGGACTGCAAAAGTAAATGAGTTCTCTAATAAAAGTATATGTTTTGAGTTGTTACAAATTGTGTGGATTATGTTAATATTTTCTAGTCAAAGAAAATCATAAACTTTTCATTACATGTATAATTTTTTCTCTGTACCAAGTAATGTAATATTAAAAGTTAAAATTATAACTTTTAATATATGCTATGTATGTTTTTAATATAGACATGTAGCTTTATAGTGATCACATTTTTGTATGTGAATAAGATGCTTTTTATTTATTTTAGCCAGAAAAGCTATAGATATAAAAGTATTATTAGTAAAATATTCTAACTAAATTATTATATATTATTATTTGCTTAGTTATATTAAAATAATGTACATATAATTTTCTAAAGATACATACTCTGGTACAAAGATAAACTTGATGTTAAAAGTTTAAATATATGCAGTCAAATCTGTTTCATCAGATTAAATGTGTCAGAGGCACGGCATAGGGAGGAATTTTTTCTTTGATGTGCAAGAACAGAAGCCAAAATTTTGAAAATGACTCATATATGAAACTAAACTACATATCATTTAATGTGGAATGATATGTGGCTTAGAATTTCTTGTATTCAGAACTGGAACTAATGTGTTATAGGAAATATAACTCTTAGGAAATTTTAAATCACTTTGCAGTTTTTTTAACTAACTGGAATATGATTTGAATTTTACAAAAAATTATGACATTGTAAGTAGTCTTAGCAACGGAAAATTTAGTTTATTATTTGGAATAGTAGTAAAATAATAATAATAATGTGTTTGACTCTGTTTGTATACTAAATACTTGATTGTTTTTTCTTTCCTTTCCAATACTTCTAGCTTTTAGGTAATTATATGTACATTCATATTGCAAAATCAGGTTATGGAGCTTGTGTATCTAACTTGTATATGTATGATGCTATCAGGTAAATTATTTCTTTTCCTTACTAATTTTTTTATTTACTTTTTTAGAATGAGCAGAAATTTCTGAGGGAAAGTAAAATAATTTGTAGTTTAGTACAAAGGGTTGTTTTAATATTCTGATATATTTTCATCCAAATTAAGAAATATTTCTCATTTTAAATAATAATAGTGTTAAAAAGGGATTTTGATTTAGTGACTCTTTTGATAATAATATCATATGTATGGTAGCTTAAAAAGATACTAGAAATTGTTTACTTTTGAAAAATGATTGACAATGAAATAGTTTTCTTTATATTTTCTTCAATTTAATCATATTCAGTGGTTACAAACTTGTACCCAAATACATATGGTTGTTGAAAACAGCCCTGGAACCCTTTCTTTAATACTAAAACTTTTGCAGCAGCCAATATCAAACTTTTAAACTTCATGCCTTTACAGTATGTACAATGCCATTTTAAAATTGTGTTTTATCTGGAGTAAAAAATTCTATTGAGGCAAGTATGGAATAGGAATAAATTCTAGGAAGGTTTTATGAGCAGCATATTTGTGAGCAATAATTGTTATGAAAAAGTCTTTATATTAGTATACAAATTTTCCTAAATAATAGCTGCATGAAAATGTTTGCACAGAGCTTCTATAGATTTTTTTTTTTTTTTTTTTTAAGATCTTTTAGATTTTTTAGATTTTTTTCTTTTTTTGATATGCTTAAGGTGTGCACATTTGATATTTTTTCCAAATAAAATTGGAGAGTCTCACTTCTTAATTTTGCTTCAGCACTAATTACTTCCATATTAAAGAAATTATTCCATATTAAAGAAACAATCATTTATGAATCTGTATGATCAGTTAGTTTGACTATAGCCATATTTTTGCTCTTTACATCTTAAACAAAAATATTGAACATTATTGATTTTAAATCTACTGAATAATTTATATCCCTGGTGCCAACCTGGCAAGTCATTATTTATTATTTTTTGCTTTCATCACTGCATAGCTATCTACACATGGTAACTTGAGAAATGACTCGCATTGATATTTAAAGAAATATTAAATTTTAAAATATTAGTAATTGAATACCAAAGAGGATGGTACCCTTTTTTTGTTAGCATTATGCTTGGCATTAATTACAGAATTCAGTTAACTGCACTGCAAAGTGTTGAATCCATCGATGAGGAGAAATTCAATGGAAATTTATTTCTATATGCAAAAAATAGATTTTTAAATGATGCTCATAGGTCAAAAGATGACCTTTAATGCTGTTTGAATTGAGAATAACTGATTTTTGATTGAGACTGATTGATTAGATTTCTGATTTGTTATTCAGATAAGCCCAACACCAGCACCAGAGTTGGTGTAGCTGACCAAGTGGCAAAATTTAGGGGAGTCAAAGTTTTTAGACTCTAGAGAAGCACTGAACCACAAAATTAAGGAATGGCAAAATTATTAGAATTTAGGGAAGGCAATGGGATGCAAAATTTAAGGGCGACAAAATTTTTTATAATTTAGGGAGGTGCTTCACAGCAGAATTCAGGACACATAGAGACTGCAAAATGCCCAGCACTGATCACAGATCAGCCATAAGTAGGAATAAGTTTGTTCGAGACTTGAATAAGCCTTAAACATGTATAAGAAAAAAATGTAAGAATATTAATTAGCTAAAATTACTAATATAGTGCAAGCTTAATTTCATCAACATGCAATAAAAGTAAGACAAAATTTTGCAGAACAATATATTTTTATAACAGACTAGCTAAGGTTTATGTTGAAAGCCACAAGTTGGAAGGTTTTTCAGACATCGCAAAGAAAAAGTGAAATTTTCCAGTCAATAAAATTTGTGGGGAAATCTGGAGAAGTGAAATAAAGATGATAACAGAAGTTTTCATTGCGATGTCAGTGCCCCGATCATCAGTCAATAAATGCTTGGCAAAACCTGTAGTAAGGTGCTAATTCCAGTGTTACTGATAGTGAAGAAATTGACAGAGAGGTTATTGAGAAGGAAAAAATTTCAGTTTACAATTTAGTGGGAATTATCAATACTGCAATTACAGAACTTGAAGAAGGGAACTTTGTAATCAAACAAGAAATTGTGTCTGTCTGTAAAATAAGAGAGAAAATATTAGCGCAAAAAATGAAGCAAACGAAATGGAACAACTTAAATTGAAAGAAATATTGAATTACAATTTAAATTGAAATATTTTGGCTTTGTTTAATATTATAATATATAAAATATTTTTGACTGACAAAAATCCAAAATAACAAGTCAAAGAATTGAACAAACTCGGTATCCATGTGCACATCAATCTATTTTCTTTTAACATTAGAGAATTGCACAAACTAGGCATTGCACACTCCCTTGACTTTGTCCATATAGACATCAATCTATATTCACTTATATGTCAAAGGAGCAGCCATCAAAATATATACAATCTTAATAAACTACATTTTAATCACCATCCTCAGCTGCACTGCTTGGAGAACTGGATTTACTAGAGGCATTTCACATTCAAAAAAATCTTTCTGTTCTAGTTAATGATCCTAATTCCAATCCATCTTTGCCTTCGGCCTTTAAAGAATTATGTTTTAGTTCTGGTTTCATCAACAGATGGCGCCACTAGCTTATTTTCTGTCCAGGCTTTCTTATCTTATCTAATCATTGTATCCTATCTTGTTAATTTGCAGCTGAGGATGGTAGTTCGGTAAAACCATCGAAACTAGTCCTGTGAAAATTTGAAAATATAACACTGATTTTTGTTGTTTGACTTCTGAATTAGTTCTTAATTTATAGCAACCAATTTTCCTTTTCATTTTTCATTGTAGATCGGTGGGAAAAAAGCCATCGTTCATACTTTCAAATAATTTTAACAAACTGCGTAAACCAAATTTGCCATTATTATCGCTTTTATAAGAACCAAATATGCCAGATTTCAAAATGTGTCAATAAATTGATGTATATCTTAGAAATTTTGAATAAAAAAATTCTTAATTTTTTGCAAGTGTGTCTAGAAATATATCTACTTGATGATGTTAAAAATTTTATAGGTTATAATACAAAAATTTTTTCGAAAAATTTATAAAAAATATTTTAAAATACAAATTTTAAAATAAATCTTAAAAAAAATGTGCGAATTATATTTGAATCAAGCCTAGATTTCAATTTCTGGAAGAAGGAATCAAATACGTTTAATAAAAAAAGAGAGATTAATAAATGTATATCAAATTCAATTAACAATGAATACATAAAATTTTTAGTGCTAATTTTTAAAAGCTATTCATGGGATTTTTGCAAAACTTGGCACTTTGGCATAATTTGAGTCATAGAATCAAAATATGGAAAAAAATTGGCATGGCATTTCAGAAAAAGTCCGATTTTTGTCTCAAAATACCAATATTACAACAAAGCTATATATAAATCTAATATATATCCTAAGTTGTACTTTCGAGACATGAAAAATGCAAGCTTAATTTCGTCAATCAGCCCAGTAGAACGGGAGATTTAGAACTATCCTCTTTTTTTTTTTTTCACAGTGTACATGATACAGCTTTATATCAATAAATAATTAACTGTCATATTTATTAATCACTTTTTTGTAATCACTGGAATCTTGTAAATTACAATTTAAATTGTATATTTTAAATCTTGTATTATCAAGTTGCCAAGTGCAAAACAAGAAAAGTAATTGCCATCTTTAAATGTAACAGATATTTGGTTTATTATTTGGGGGGGAGAGAATTATCATTAAAGAAATGGTTAAAAAAATTATCATTTGCCATAATTTCCAATTTTTTTATTTAATTATATTTCCATTTTTAAGCATATTAAATATTTATATATGAAATTTTTTATCATTTCAGTCAAGATATTTTAAGTCGTTGGTCGTACCCAATTGTTCCTGACCTGGCAGAACGAAATGGGGAGAAATATTCATATTCAAGGCATAATATATATAAAGGTTCAGATGTTGAAATTGGAAGGTATTTGAAATTTAGAAAATTAATATCTCTGTGTTAAAATTCAGGTATTTTTATATCATAACACTATTATAAGTGCATAATATTATGATTGTGTAATAACATAAATATCTGGCCAATGTTAGTAGATTTTTAATGCAGATACACTTAAGGATGTTTAAGATGATCAAATGGTAATTAAATTGTCTAGGATGATGTTTAAGATATTCAAGCAATCTTCATGAAACTATTAGTTGGTAACAAAAATGGATTCCTTGCATTTTTTGGACCAGAATATGTCATTTCTGTTGCTCGGATGGGAATATTTGTAGAAATTCTGAACACAGTTTAGAATTATATTTTAAGTTTTCAGTTTAATTAATGCTAATGAAACCCATGTCTTCTTATAAATCAGTTTAAGAAGTCTTCAAGAATGTATTTCAGCCTTAATGTGTGTATGAGTGAGTGTTCTAAAGTGATTTGAAGTCACTCTAAGTCTCTAAGCTATGTATCTAAATGACTTCTTCATAATCTGTAAGATTTGGTCTACAGTCTCTTAACCCTTTGACTACTAACAGGACAAAGATGTCCCACTAAAAGTTTAAAAATTATTGCCTGGTTAAAAAGTACTTAGAATCTCCTGAACGTGGGGTATCATCTCCCAATAGTTGGGAAATCAAGGTGCCACTATGCTCATTGTACACAAATGAACATACAGATGAAAGAAATAATATGAGTTGCCCAATGTGTAATGTTGGGTTATGTAAAGAATGCTTTACATTGTACCATATGATGCAAAATCTATTTCATATAATAAAGTTTTCCTGAATAATTGGCGTGCTTATAGTAAGTTGATTGCTACGTGTGTTACATATGTATCCCACCATTAACTATGGCTGTGACATATGTGAGTCAGCTGTAGTTTGGCTTGAAAACTGCTTGTCCAAAAAATTCCAAATGCTAAATTTACCTTATTCATGACATATTTTTTTCACTTGGATAGAAAATGGGGTGAAAAGATATTTTTTTTTTTAATTCGTAGTTCACAGTTTGCTGTTAATTTTTTAAGTGCAAGTTCTTTTTAATTGCATATAAATCAACATATGTATTTGCACAGCATTGTCAGAGTGATAATTAATAGATTTATGTAACAATAATTGGTTTGATTTGTGCATTTTTTTATTTTTTTGCAATTTTTAGTTCACGAGAATGATTTTTAAATCATTAAAGAAATGAAGATTGCACTGTTTTAAAGAAAACTTTAAACTTCATGTTTTATAGGAATAGATCTTGTGTTTACACAAAAGGTTTTTTTTTTATTTCTTAGTGTTAAAAGATCAAAAGCTGCAGACCAAGAGAAACATATGTGTAAAATTTAATAATACTTCCATTAACTTTTAGAACATTTCTGTTACAATAGAAAATAGCATTTTCATGTACAAGCATATCTCTCTAAGAGTCACTGAAAAACAATATAGCATGTAAATACTTTACAAAAACTTAATTTTTAAATGTTTTGTATAATTATATTATTATATTTTTAATTATAGATACACTAAATTTGTATTAATTTTTGGAACTGATGTGTTAATTTTTTAAAAGTGGGGAGGGGGCAAGTGCAGTGTTCATGACATTTTAACAACAGTGCTTTAACTCCCTCTGGAATGCTCCCTTTTATAGTTGGAATTTTAACAATAAATAAATAAATAAAAATCTGAAAGGTTTCAGATTTTAAATTATGTCCAAATGGGGCATTTTTTTAGCATTTTGTCTGTTACCTTTATTTATTAAATATCACGTTCTTCGCACTTAAACCATAAAATTCAGTTCAAGAGCAATATCGCAAAATAGCCTTAAATTGAGCATATCTTTAGAATTTCCGAACAGAGTCTAGCGCGCTGGAGATAAAAATGATTTTTCTGTACAACTTTGCCATTGCTCGCTTTTAAATCCTAGAGTTTGTTACTCAGACATTTGTTAAAGTTTTACGAAATATGAAATCAATAATAAAACAAATTCTAAATTTCAAATTTGGGCTTCCACATGCCCATATTCGCTGTAGGGTTATATAATTAAAAATTCTATGGCTCTAGGTACTGCTGTTTTATCACAGTGCGAGAAATATACATACATTTATGTAATTTTTTCATTATTTAATTTCTTCAAATATAATGCAGGACTCAAACATTTGGTGGCAACAGTTTGAAAAGTGATATGGACATGTATAGTAAACCATTGCAAAACGAAAACAATAGTTCTTCAGGGACAAAGCCCCTGTCAAATCAGACCTAGAGGAGTACACAGGTAAAATTTTGTAAAGATAGCATTTATAATTTTAATTCTGTGTGTGTGCCCGAAGCAGGTTCCCTGAATGAATAGAGCTTTGAAAAGAGCGCTGAAACGAGCATTGCTGGGAAGTGTGTAATAGAGTAAAGGATTTTACCTATGATTGGAAAACACTAGATTCTGATTACCATAGCAGATTTAGCATTACCCAGGATGCACCATGGGGAGGCCTGCAACTCTACCTCCCCCCCCCCAAGAAAAAAGCTCTTCTTGGTTATATGATGATTACATGTGTATAAATGAAAAAAAAAGTTAACTTCGCTGTATGATATTTACATTACTTACATTTCATATTTATACTTTTGTCTATTTTTGAAGCAAGAGACGCCTCTGAAAAAGCACAACCCAACATAGCATGTTCTGCATATGTACCGATTCCATATCGGATTAACTACCTGAGGGCAATTCATTTAGCATTTTCGGTACTTCAGAAATGGTCAGCCCTCTCCATCCAATTACAAAATGATTAAAAATCAGAAAAAAAAACTAAACTAATATCATTTCTATAATTAAGAAAGTGTATACTATAAAGTAAAATTAAATAAACATCTACAACTCAAAACTATTAAAACGTAGAGCTAACAAAACTTCTTTCAACGAAAGTGAAAGAAAAAAATGAGAACTGCTCTATTAAAAAACCAAAGAGCTAACTGATAAAATTACTTCGGAACTTCAGAAAAATAGCTCAGCAATTTCAGGGTTCGTAGCGGTCCTTATAAGTGCTTATAAGTCCTTATATTTGAAAATAAAATATAAAGGCCCTTATAGGTGCTTACTTTTTCTTTAAAGCCTTTATTTTTTTGTTTTTAGTGCTTATTTTTTGCTTTTAGTACTTTTTTTTAATGAACGCGCTATTTTCCCCCGTATCAAAGCCGAAACTAAATAAACAACTTTTCTTCCTAATATGGAATGTCAGATGGTGAATCATACTCCCGGAAATAGCTTTTCCCCCTATCTCTGCATTAACATAACCTTTGGTGTGCACGAAGAGTACAGACAGGTGCCCGTCGTTCTATTGGTCAAAGAATTGCGAAAGCAGTAGAAAATTTCCGGTACATTCGGCATTCTTTTCCTCCCACCCAAATACTACACACGTTTGAATTTCTATCAAGATCTTAATAATTTGCATTCTCGTTCCGCTTGGTCAGTTCATATTCGTGTTTATTATGATCATTATGCTTATATTATGAGCATATGTATGAATGTTTATAACAAATAACAGTTGCAGTAACTGCTGAAGTATAGTAAACTTCCAAAAATGGTTGTGTTTTAACACAGCAGTTAGCTTTCTAAGGAATAATATCGGAATGGCTTAAATAAAGGGAAAGTCAATCGAATAGTCAAAATAATTTCAATTTTTTTTGGCCAATACATTATACAGTACGAAGATTGGGAGGTTCTCCTCTTTCTCCACAAAATCTCGAATATTGAAACTGTTACAGTTCACTGCAAAACAAGCCAACGGACCTTTTTTTTTTTTTTTTTTTTGTCACTTTCCAATCTGGATTGAATAGGACTAAAAGTTCTGCAGTCTACGAACCCAAGCGAAGAATGATTCTATTCCGGAAATTCAACGCGTCTGTTGAAAATTAGAATGAAAAACACCCCAGTTATTTAGTTCTTTATTCTCCCAATACCGGCAGCTGTTGATTCCGATTGCGTAATATCACATAGAGAAGAATTACGGCGCACGTATTGTGCAATAACGTTTGCAATATCTTGCAGAGATAATTAATTTTGATGTTCTGTCCGAGATTTGTTTATGAACACTTAAAAGAATTTTACTGTGCTTGCTAAGCAGAATATTTTTCAGTTCCATTGGTTTATTTTTATATGATGCATATATCAAAATGTCAAAAGCATTTATTTAGCGGAAAAATCTAAAGAGCGGCTACAGTCTATCCCCCTTCCGTTCCTCTTTTTCAAGTTACGCTCGACTGTCCGAATATTCGCCAATTTCCAAGTATGCAGGTTAGTTAAGCTTTTACTGTTAAAGGATGACTGCATGAAGCAAATTTTTGTCTTCTGATTTCAGAAATGTTCCTCTTTTTTACTTAAATTACTTTGCTTGCAATATCTGTTAAGGGAAAACTGATATACAATGAAAATTTAGAAAATATTAAGAATTTAGATTTAAATTATTTAAATATCAATATGAGTGGAAAAATGAATTGTATTTATTATTTGGTTCCAAGCAAAAAATAAATATGCCTTATTATTATTTATTTTCTCTATTTTGAACTGAAATTTCATCATTAAATCTTGTAATATAGTTTAGTTCTGCATAGTTTTTTTTTTTTTTTTTCCTTCATTGTAAACTAGTTCTGTAAATTGGAACTGTTATTTAAAATTTAAAAAAAAAAAAGTAATTATTTTCCATGGTTGAGGTAATGCTTATTCTCTCTTAATAAATACTCCATTTCTCATTATTTTAAATTACAAGTCTAATTTTTAAGGTTATGCAGTTGTGTATAATGTAATTAGACAAGTGCTTATTTTTTCTTAAAATGTGCTTGAAAAGTGCTTATAGGTGCTTATTTTTTTAACTAAAATGTGGCTATGAACCCTGAATTTCTTAGTTGATAACCAAACCTCCCCTTTGAAAAACAAATTAAAAAAAAAAAGAAAAAAAAAAAAGAAAAAGAAAAAGAAAAACAGGAAATGAAATGCAAATGTGGACCCACCTTTCTATTGTGAATGAGCTCACCAGAGACCTGCAGTGAAACATCGCACTCTGGGCACACCAGATGTTTGTGATTCGATTTTAGGCAAGATTTCAAAGTAAAAATATAAAACTAACATAGAATAAAGAGATCATCATACAGGAAGAAAATAACATAGAAATTTCTTTTCAAACAATTTCTTTTATATCCTAAAAATCTGGAAGATTTCTTTGAAAAATGAGGAGTTTTAAAATCTAAACATGGGCTAAAATGAATGGACTAGTGTGAGTTGTGCTGCCATCTAGTATAAATGAAGGAAGTTAAAAGTAACCTATAGTAACCTCTAATACCTTTTCCATCGATTTTTCTGTGTGTTCAGGAAAGGATTAAATGTTATATATTGCAGACATGTCTAAATTACTTGCAGAAATTAATTATATTTGTATAAATTTTTGTTTGATTTGATTTCTTCATTTTTGATCGAGGCCTAGTTTTAGAATATTGGTTTGGCTGAAAATATTACATAACATATACTACTAACCTATTTTATTAATGGCATGAATATATCTGTCTATAGCTTCTTTTTTTATCTTTATGTTTTAGGAACTGCATATTGAAACAGAATGTTGTTATAGGTAAAGGTACAAAAATTGGTGACAATACTATAATTACAAACTCTGTTATAGGCAGGAATTGTAAGATAGGTAAGTATATAGCATTAAATTCAAATTTCACAGTTTGGATAAGAGATTTGAAAGAATGAATAATTTATTTATTTATTTATTTATTTTTATTTTTATTTTATTGATACATTCTGATTATCCACATTCTGCTCAAAAAATTTGTCAGCCATTGGTGACAAATTTTTCATATAGTTAAGATACAAAATACAAAAAATGTTTTTAAAAACGGAAGTATATTAAAAATTTCATAAAACAGCAGACAGTTAATAAAATTTAAAATGCAAATAAAATATAGAATAAAACCACCCTTTTTTTACTTCCTTGTACGAAGTAAAAAGGAAGTATTGTAATCGCGAAAAGTTTCAGGCAGCATATTTCAACGAAAATATCCATTTTGACCGCTATTGAATGCAATTTAACGATGTTTTTGCGTGACATCTGTACGTAAGGACAGAATAAAAGACTCTTTTCCTCCAAAAAAATCATAAAACTGCTTTAAAATGAATTCTGAAGAGAATTTTTCGTGGCGTCTGTATGAACGTATCTCGCATAACTCAAAAACGAGTAGCCTCAGAACGTTGAAATTTTGTATATAGGACTGCTATAACATGTAGATGTGCACCTCGTATTTTGGTTGCAATCGGCCGCACCAAACGTATATAAATATATCTATATATATATCCACTCTGTTACTCGGCACAGTGATCTCAGTTTTTTTACTCTTATATGTTTGTAAATTGTACATTTTTTGCTTTAAAAATAATTGAAATATGTTGTTCTTATTAAGGTTAAGGTTTTTATGCCTTTCGTAAATCTGGAAGCAATATTTGTGTAATTATCAACAATTTAAAAGCTGTTTAAGTGTGGTTAAGTTTTAAATAACATGGGGGACATATTTGTTTGCATTTGAAACAGCAGAATAGTAGATTTGTTGCCAATTTAGAGAGGCTAAGCCTCGCAACAACAAAAATAATGCCTTCATTTATTATTGCGAATTAAATCATGCTTAATCCTTTCTGTAATTTTTTTAAGGAATAAATGTTTAAGATTTACTTCGTAATTTTAATAGAGATATTTTGAGTTTTTATGTATTTTTGCCTTGTCACGAAGTGAGAACTGAATTAATTGAATGAGAAATACTAAATCGTCTATGAAAAACTGTTTCTTTTTGTTTTGTTTGCTTAATTTCTTTTATACATTGTTCTAGCTTTATTATAGTATTTGAATAGAACATGTGGCAATGATAAGATAATTCTTTAAATGATATAAACTTTGTGCATTCTGAGTTATAATATGAACGGAATATAATACTGAAGTGAACCTTGCGGCAGAGTGTCGCTATGGTAAACAAATATAGTGAATTTTAAAGAGTGCATTTATTGTATTGTGGTTTATGCGCTGTCGAAGAAGCAGATTTAATTCAAATCAATAAGTTTAAATGAAATGCAAGAAAAATGCGTATAATTTAATATTCCATACAAGGAAGTCATGTGGTGTACACATCAGATTTTTTTGGTATTATTCTCCCCATGTACATTGCATTCTACTTTAGGATTCAAAAAAATGTCTGCATTTTGCAAAACCTCGGCATTATATGCAATCTGGCACTATGCACGTTGTTGCCTTGGTAGCCAAGACAATAATCTTATGTTTTATTTATTAAGTAACATTATGTCAGATGATAGCATAATCCTAAGTATTAACATCACCCTTATAAATTTTTTCTTTTTCATATAAAATGTGTTTCTTATAAAATACCTTTTTTGTTATATTTATGAATATAATAAATAGTACCTATGAGCTGTAAAAATAACCTAACAAATATTTTTTGCCTATTCAAAAAGTTCTCGATGAGTTTTCTTCATGAGGATTTAGATAATCAGAAAGTAACCATTGAATTTTCATAAAGATATTCAAACAAATTTTATATTTCTGAGATATGGAAGATCTTATTTTTGATTTATGGAACTTTAGTCTTTTTTTATGTGCTTCCAGTTGTTAAATTTATTTAGTTATTTATAATATTCTGATTTGCTTTACTTTCTACAATAAATAGTCCTTATATCAAAATATTGTTTTCTCTTTTAAAATTATTTCTTGATAATCTTGATTGAATCAATGTGTATTTTTTCTAATGCAGGTGTGTATTTTTTCTAATGCAGTAACAATGCATGGTATTGTTTTGTATGCATTTGCGTATAGATTAAAGTGTAAAGGTATAGGCATTAAAATCATTGTAGAAATATATATTTATATGTATGTATGACTGTAAAAAGTATATACCAAGAGTGTATGGAAATAAATGTTGAAGTAAAGGTTTTGCATTATAACTCCATAATTATAGTTTATTTGGTTAATGAAGCAAGTTAAAATGCTGCATGTATTAGGATTTTAATTATTACTATTATTGCCGTTTTCAGGAGAGAATGTTGAAATAAAAGGCTCTTATTTGTGGAATGATGTATCACTTGGGAATAATTGCAAACTGAATACATGTTTGCTTGCAGAAAATGTTGTTTTACATAAAAATGTGACTATTAAGCCTGGATGTGTTTTAGGAAGTGAGGTAAGATTTATTCTAGTGTATATTTCTCCATTTTTTTCTACCGTTTATGATAGAAGCTGATATGAAATTACTAATTTAAAAAAAAAAAAAGAGAGAGAGAGAGAATACGTTAAAGATAACTAACTATACAGCATTCAAATTAAAAATTTAAATTATAAAACTCACATTCACTTTCTTAATGAAAGGGATTGTTCTCTTTGTAATGTGCTGCAGTGCTCTCAAGTATATGATTTTCTATTATGCACTTTATATGAAAATTTTATCCAAAATTATATTTCCTATATGTGATATTCAGAAAGTCCAGTTTTATCACATTGGATTGAAATCCATATGGTAATATTAATCAATGAAGAAAAATAAAATGTGTGTGATTGTAGTTTTTCACATGTATCCATTTTGCATAATTTCTATATGCATCATAAGTTGGAAAAGAAAAACGATTGCACTATTTGTCCTTTTATCTTTACATTAGGAATTTAATTTGTTTTTGTTACCTTTACATGAGGAATTTAATTTGTTTTTGTTATCTTTACATGAGGAATTTAATTTGTATTTGTTATCTTAGCCTAATTTAAATGTATCTATGCTGATAACTTACATATGTAGTTTCTTATTTCCATTATTTACATATTTACAGGTAATCATTGATGATAATATTACTCTCCCACCTCTTACAAAATTACTAGCTAGTATGTATACAGATGAAGATAGTTTTGGAGAAGAAGAATTTCCTGATGAGCAGAAACCAATTCATGAACAAAGTAAGAGTTCGATAAGAAATTGTATTAGACTATCTATATTAAATTTTATTTTGTGTTGTTTTCTGTATGATGTTAATTTCCATGATATCTGCTAAGTATCTTTTGTGGTATTTTTATAATTTATCATACAAGCAAGTCAATCAATTTAAGCATTATACTTTTTTTATGTGTTATTCTGTCTATGTAGAACTACTGATTTTGAGGGGGAAAGTGCAGAATCACCCACTGATTGGCGCGTTTTTCAAAATGGCCAACTTGGTGTGCTCTCGCGTCTTGTCTCCTGGATTTGCAACCCCTCTAGAAGACACTATGCAAGGCGCAACATTTACAATGGTTAACAGTTAAAATAAATACAAAATAAAAGTTGACGCAAAATTTTGAAAACTGAAAATCCTTTAAAAACAGCTTAATAATTTTAAAAAACAAACATGGTTAAGAAATCGTAGTAAGCTTCAAAAACTTAAAATCGTTACAAAACACTGAAGAATTAAAATGCATTCACCTATAAAAAAATTGGGGAATAACCCACTGCTTGACACGTTTTTAAGAATTGCACAAACTCGGTATCCGTGTACACATCGATCTATTATCACTTAAAAAAACATCCCATAATTGCACAAAAATGGCAATGTGCACTCCATTGACTTTATCCATGTATACATCGACCTATTTTCACTTGAAAAATATATCCCAGAATTGCACAAAATGGCACTGTGCACTCTCTTGACTTTATCTATGTACACATTGACCTATTTTCACTTAAAAAGTCAAAGAAAATTGACAAAAATTCAATTCTTCTTACTCATATAAAAAAGCGCCAAACAAATAAGTGGGAAATTTTTAAAACCAGAAATCCTTTCAAAAAACCTAATGACTTTAAAAACTTAAATCATTTTAAAAACATAGTAAGTTTAAAGAACATAAAATCCTTACAAAACCTTGAAAAATTAATACTTTCACTTCCAAAAAATTTTAAAATATGAAAATCCAGTCCTTACAAAAACATAATTTTAAAAACTAAAAACCATTTCAATTTTAAAAACTAAAAATCGTTTCAAAAACATAGTAAGTTTCAAACACTTAAAATTGTTACAAAACACTGAAAAATAGAAATACTTTCACTTACCTGAAAAGGAGTAATCTACTCCGCTCAGCCAAAGAAAGAAAAGTAATGAATTCTCGAATTATTATTTAAAATAACTGCACCTCTACCATCTATTATCATCTACACCAATCAGAAATTCTAAATTTAAAAATACATACTGAGCATGCGCAAAAATACTCTGAATTTCGCGCTCAAAAGAAATTCTCATTTAAAAATACATATTGGACATGCGCAAAAATACTCTGAAATTCACCTTCCAGAACAGGAAAATCGACTTATACCATTTGGCGTATTTAACAATCTCGTAAAAAGTGCCAAACACAATGCGCCAAATAAGTGGGCGATTCTGCACTTTACCCATTTTGAGACTAATTTTTTATTAAAATTGCCTATAAGTTTTATTATTTTATTCCTTTCTTTGTACATATAAGCTGTAGATTGTTTATTTATCAGTATTAAGTATCATTAATTTTTGTATATTGAATATGTTCTTATAAATTTGCTTCTTAGAATTTGTAGGCTTTTCTAGAATGTTCCTATACCATTGATTTATTGAATGTAATTTTTTTTAATTCTTAAGTTTACATGTTATAAATTTAATATATTGCATTTGAAAGTTTTAAAACTTTAAAATAGAATAAAATCAAATACTTAGTAAGTCTTCATGCATTTAGAAATACTGTATTTAGAAATTATCTGATTATATTTTATAATTATTTAAGTATATTATAAGAAAATTAGAATTGTATGTTAGCAGAATTAGAATATTTTATTTTTGTTGTCATTATCCATTGCACCACTGTTATGCAAAAACTTCACATATTAGAAAATTTTGACTGTTATAACTAATAATACTAAATCTATTGTGAACAAACTTATTAAATGGTGCCTACCTTTTCTTGTTTTCGTTCCATTGCTTTTTAAAAAAATTTAATGATTTATGCATGTCATTGCAACATTAAGAACATTAGAAAAGTCTTATTTTCAATGTTTAAAATTTCATGTTTTATTAACATGAAATTTCATGTTTTATTAACATGAAATTTTAATTACATTACATTTATTTAAAAATTCTACACCAACACTATCTTTGTTGTTACTATTGGCACTTTTATAATGGATGAAATATTTGTGACCTGAATATACTAAAACTGGCTGCTTTTCAGTTGAAGAGTATGTAATTAGTGTTGATTAAATGTAGATAAATTGCAAGTTAGTTACTGTTTAATATTTTGTATGCCATTTCTTGATAGATAAAAAAAGGATAGGCTCACATTTGCTTAAAAACAAAATTGCATATTTTTCATATTCTGAAAATAATAAATTATTTTCAATTCACTATTAAAATTTTTTTTAATTAATATATTGGAACTTTTTAATAAAGTATTAAAGAAATTTTGAATTTTCCTTTTTATTTCTAATCTTTGAATACTTTTAACATGCAAGCATCTTTTAATGGTAAATATGTATTTTCAGCTTGTGATAAACACTTAGTTGGTGAAAAAGGTAGAGGCTTTTTATTCTCAGCTACGAGTGATAGTGAAGAAGAAGATGTTGGTGATGTCCAGGATGTTTGGGGAGCACCAAAAGAAGAAAATTTATCTGATGAAGATGACACAGCTGAAACATCTAGTTCTGCCATTTTAAGTCCTGGAGATGGGTTATCCGATGAAAGTGATGGACCTGTGGATGATTATGATGATGATACTGCCCGTAAGTTTTTATACACTATTCTGAGTTCATCTGTTCTGTGAAACTTATTAAATAGAGTAATCGTGCAGATTGCTGTAATATTTTAATAATGGAATGCACTAATAATAATAATGGAATCTAGTCATTAGAAAGCTAACAAATTTTAAATTTTTGTTTGCTTACAGATAGTGTAGTTTTTTAAAACTTTGCTTATTTATTCAATTCTTTGTCATTGTATTTGTTTGTTGTTTGCAATGTATTGTAAAATAATAATTTTTTTAACTAGTAAATTTTATTTGGAATTTCTTATCCTTTCTTGTTGGGAGAGAGATTGTGGAGAGAAAATGCAAATTATTATTTGTTTATTGCACATTTCCCTTCCCATAAAAGTTTAATTAAGTAGTAGCTGGCACTTTAGTCAGCTATTATAAATACCTATTTTTAAAATCTTAATGAAATATACTAAATGATTAGTTTAAATAAAAATTCTTTCTTTAGCAAATACTGCATTTATTTTCGTAAATTACATTACCTGACACAGGAGTGGCCAGAAAATTATACAAATTTCAGGGTAGAATGCACATCGCTGAGTAATTTGAATGATGTGAAATGCGCAGCCCTCCAGCACACATTGAAGAAGATAAGGAAAGGAACCTGAAGAATGTTCAATTTCCATGCCATTATTGCTGCTAAGGAAATCATTGTAGAAAATTTGTTCTCGTCTCAGAGGATGCGTGTAATAGCAGGAAATGCGAGGCCATTGTCAGTGGAGGCAGTTCCAGCAGACAGACGATTTAATGAGGAGCATGGTTGATTGGAATGAGAAGAACAAGTTGGTCCATACAACAAATCTCAGCTGACACACACCTAGATGTGTCCACAGTACACCGGCTGTAGCGACGATGCTTGGAACGAGGGAATGTGGCAAGTTTGAGGGGTGTTGGTTCTTCCAGAGTGATGTCAGCACATGTGGATTGACGCATCCGCTGACAAGCAGTGATGCACCTGCAGGCGACTTCTACCTTTATTCTGCAGAATGTTCAAGACATCCTGGATGTTCTCATATTGACCAAAACCATTTGCCATCAATTGGTGGCCAGCTCATGGCATCCGTTAAGAAGACTGCCATTGACCTGACATGGATGCCAATCTCTGCAATGGTGTCATGCTCGAGTGATGTGGATGATGGAATGGCACAGGGTGTCATGTTCTCAGATGAGTCACACTTCTGTTTCTCCAATGATAGCTGCCATGTACAAATGGGGCATTGATGTAGAGACATAGCCAGGTCAAATCCAGCAGCAATTGTGGAACACCCCATCGCATAACAGTGTGGCATCATGGTTTGGGGTGCAATTGTGTACAATTCCAGGTTACCTCTAGTTCGTATTCAGAGCACTATGACGACCCAAAGATTATGTGGATGAATTGCTGTGGCCCATGACACTCCCCTACCTTCGAAGTACCCAGGGCCCTTTATGAGCAGAAAAATGTCTGATCACAAACTTACCAAATTTTTGACGAACTCATATATTACTGTTAACATTATTCTTATATAACTATTTATGTGTTATAAAATACTTTGAATTACTACATTTATTATGTAAAACAACATAAAATGTAATGTGTCACTTGTAATACTGCATTATGGTACGATTTTAAAAATACATCACATTTAGTTTTATTTAACTTACAGTATTACTCATACTTTATCATTGCTCTATTTCATAATATTAATGTATTATACTATGCAATACCATTAAATAATGCATTCATGTATCTTATCACTGAGTAATATTATATCATACATTGACGTTTTAATGTAATATTTAATCACTGCATTACGTGATTCCAATTATACCAGGTCTAAAATATTATGTTAGTTCACAATATGAAATTCTAACTGTATAAGAAATGTATTAAAGTACTAATTGTATGCTACTGTGACAGTTCACATAATGTAATTACCAACAGTATGTATACTTGATTAATGATAACCAATGTATTATATTGTTCTATTATGAGATGTATGACATCATGTATAGAATATCTATTATCACTTTGTGGACTTAAATAATTTAATGCATAATGTATATATATTGCATTATGTAGCATTCCACTCAAGATTATTGTAACCTAACTTTACATGGAGCACAATCTTGTGTATCCTATGTAGCAATTTATGCAGGATGTCTTGTAATCATTTTCGTAAACTACTTTTCTGTAACATCCCTGATCAAGAGCAATTAATAGCATTTCGTCTTTTCAGCCACTACCCTATTGTGGTGGCTGTTTGTTGTTTTTTCCACTTACCAAGCATCATTCTGTTTGCTTTTACCTTAGGTCGGAAGCCTGGTCAGTGGCGCATAAGCATAATCTACTGAGATGACACTGTTCTTGCTCTGTATTATGCATATCATTTCAACATATATATCACTTATTGTTCATTGCTGTCTCTCTCTGTTTGCCGAGATTCATCACTTTCTGGCCACTCCTTCTTCATGTTGTATTTCTATGTCAGGTACTGTATTTGAAATATTGACAGTGTGTAAAAATTAGCAGATGGTTGGTGGATTTTTCTGCCTCACATTTGGTGATAGTATTTGGAAATTCAATTTTTTTATTAGTTTAGAATTTTGTGTGTATAGTCTTTAAATATATTTTCATGCTAGACCAGTGTTCGGCAAACCGTCAATCGCGAGCTACCAGCAGCTCGTGGAGACATTTTTGGTAGATCGCTTTAAAGCTCTGGCTGGCTATATTTGATTCCTTCACTGAGCTGATGCTGATGACAAATGCTTGTTTTTCTCGTGCAACTGCCATTGTCAGCCTCATCTCATAGATGATTGTATATGTGTGAGATTGTCCATGTTATGTTTTTCTTGTGTATATTAGACATTTGCTAACTTGGAAAGTTTGACTTGCGCATTGGTACCAAGCTAAGTCTGTTCTGATGATGATGTAGTCAAGTAAAAAGCAAAAAACTTATCGCCTTCACTTGGAATGGGAAACTGATTACTTCTTTACCGAGGTAAAGGACAAATGCATATGCTTACTGTGCTAAACAAGTGTATCAGTAAGAAAGTAGTGAATTTAAAAAAAAAACGCTCCAGGATTTCAAATGTTTGTCAATTCACCTTTTATAGAGATTAATGCTAGAGTTTTCTACATGTGATTTTCAAGAAAATAATACTTTCTGGCCTGATATATCTGTAAAATTGCTTTCTCCAAGCTTTGAAAATATTTGGCCTCTCGTTTCTAAAGAAAAATACCCAATTTTGGTCCCTGTTTGACTCAAAGTGAAGGCAATATTCAGTTCTACATATCTGTGTGAGATTTTTTTTCCCAATATGACATTTAAAAATAAGTCCAGAAACAGACTCACCGATGAACACTTGAACAACTCTAATTGAGTGGCAGCCACTATCTACTGTTCCAGCACTAAACAACTTGTTGATGACAGACAAAAAAAAAAAAAAAAAAACAAGAGTTCCATCCTTCTCGTTAAAGTTAATCAGTCTGATAAAAAAATATCTGTCATTACATTTGTTATTTATTAGTAACTACACCTCAGTTTCTTTCTTATATACAGGGCCCACCAACGGCCGAGCGGTAACATCGCTGAACACTGGTAGTTCGGTCTGAGGTTCAAATCCCGTGAACGGGTTGGCTGCATGGGTGTTTTCGGGGTTTTCCCCATGTGTAATGTGTATATGAGCCAATTCCCCTTAGAAAGTCCTCCATGAAGGCATCCCTCCCTTAAGGCAGATAGCCTTCAAGTGCTTTGCCGTAATCTAATAAAACCAAATCAAACTTTCTTATATGCAATTCAATTTCAGTTTCTTTTTGTTATATACAGTTTAATTAAAACTGATTTCATATTTACTAGAAATGCAGATTTATAGGGAATAAACAAATGTAAGATTTAAAAAAAAAAATTGGTAGTTCTTTTGGTCGGTAGTATTCATAGTAGGATTTAAAAATAATATAGTAGCTCAAAAGCTTCATAAGCTTGGGGACTACTATTCTAGACTATTGTATTAACAACCTGGTAATAAAATCGTAAATTGATTTTGAACTGTAATTTTCCACATAGAATCAACCCAGTTTAATGAAACTTTAAATTTATGGACAAACTTAAAAGAGCAGCTTTAATCTCTGTCAGTTCTTATTCAGTGATTGCTTAAAAATAGAACTCATTCCTCTTCAGTAATTGGCTACAAAATTGAGCATGTTCTCTAACTCTTGTGATTATCTTAAATTAAACTTTCAATAACTTAATTTTTTAATTTTCATATTTTATAAAATCACTGTGCATCAAATGTAATTTCATAAAATATGATGGAGAATTCTTTTATAAACAGATGAGATGGAGAATTCTTTTATAAGCAGATGAGATGGACAATTCTTTTATAAACAGAAATGTCTAATTCATGCTAATACTGATATATTGGCTGCCTTATTTGTAATTTATTAAATATTTAATACATGGCTGAATTATTTTTACAGTTTTGAATTTTGCTGCACGTAAACTGAAATTTATATCTTAGGAGAAAAACATGTACTTGTTGTAATATTAAAATAATCTTATTTTCTTCTTAGTTTTCTATAATGAAGTCCTTGAAAGTCTGCAAAGAGGAATTGAAGAAAAAGTCAAGAGTGAAAATATGATTTTGGAAATAAATTCATCAAAGTAAGTTTTCTATAAAGAACTGAAAGATATTTTATTTTTATTAAAAGAAAAAAGCTATTTTTATATTAATTGAACTTCCAACTATTAAATTTTATGTCAAATGTTTTTGGGTCATATGATTAAAATAATTTCAGTATTCATTTGCTGAGCAGGATAGCTGTGGGCAAATTTTGTAGTTTTTGTTTTAAATCATGTGAATGTATAAAGCATTTTTCTTTAGAAAGGTCTGTCCCTTTCTTTTTCTTTAGAAAGTCATTCTTTGTAAAGCAATTAGAGTTGTTGGAGCTTTGAGATAAATAACCTAAATTAAACATAAAATGTATGTATATGCATAATTTCTTCTATAGGCATAATTTCAGTGTGATATAGAAGATATTAACACTGTTGTGTAAAGTATCTCATTTCCTTTATATGTTTTTGATTGATTGCCCCTGAGTCTGTGATATTAACTCATATCCTTTTCCCTGTTTCTCAAAGTAAAGATGGTGTGATATTTTAATTTTAATTTTCTAGAATCCAGTAATAATATTGGTAGAGAGGGTTGTTGTTTTTTTTAAACAAGATTTCAGGTCTAACAGGAAAGCTGATGAACTAATCATGATCACTTGAAGATTGTTTAAAAAAATTTTAAGCCTTTTTAGGTTAAATAGTCAAGAGTTTAAGCTTCCTAACATTTCTATGCAATAAGAAATTTGCTAATTTTTATGAATGTTATGTATTGTTTATACAATAAGAAATTTCTATGCAATAAGAAATTAGTATTATGTATGTATTGTATATTAGTGTAGTATATGTTATGTATTAGTATAGTATATGTTATGTATTGTATATTTTTATGAATGTTACGTAATGTTATGTATTGTTTATGTCATATTTCATGTACTTTGATTTTAGTATAGAGCAACTTTTTTTGGGGGGGGGCTTGTGTAATTTCAAAACTTCCTCTATTTGTTTCAAATGTTCATTTTTGAAATTTTCTAATTTTAAAATTTTTATGAAGTCTGTGTTATCTCATCAAATGTTTTTAAAATTTTCTAGCCACACCTTTGTGTTAATCAGTCCTTAACTATGCATTTACTTGTGATGTTCTGATATGTATGGTTTTTTTTTAATCTCCATTCAATATCATAATAAATGGTAGAATATGTTAAAAATGCATTCAAATACCAGAACAACTTAGCTAAGATTAATAGGCCTTACCAGTGATCGAGTAGTTAAGCCCTCTTGAATACTGATATTTCAAACAGTGGTGAATAGGCTGGCTACATGATTACTTTTAATGGTGATCCCTTTATTATAATGCAATTACAATCAGTTTTTTTTTTTTTTTTACTACACAAAGTCCTTACAGAGGCATTTCTCTTCTTAAGCAGATAACCTTTGTTTTGCCTGATTAAAATAACCTAACATAGTCCCTAGAATAATGTGTAGGTCAACTTGCATGCATATGTTATACTGCATCCCATATATTTTCAGTATTCTTCAAATTAATGATACCAATTCAGGATGCATGCTCAGGAGAATGATTTTTCCAATCCTAATCTAGTGACTATAGACTTGTGCAGCAGTGTGTTATTATGCTTAGAAAGGCCTTCTTCATTCTGGATGAATTCATAACATTACTGAATGCAAGTATCCATGAGGTTGGTAATGTTGATTTCTGTCAGTCAGTGATATTTGTAGGCATTAAGAAGCAATGTAAAATTACTATTGCTATCCAGTGGCAGTCAGAAGTGAAGGCAGCATAAATTTCAAATGGGAAATGAAATTCAAAACATGGAAGTCTTACGTTCTTTGTTGTTTGTTTGAGACTATTGAGCATTTATTTGAATAATTTAGGAAATAATACTTGAAACATGGTTATATTGTAAGAGGTTTGATTTGTTTTTATGTGATTATGCCAAAGTCTCAAGGGTTCTCTGCCTAAGGGAAGGGATGCCTTCGTGGAAAACTTTCTAAGGAAACTGGCTTCTATACACATTACACATGGGGAACACCACGAGAACACCCATGCAACCAGCCCATTCACGGGATTCAAAGCTTGGACACAAGTGCTAGTGTTCAGTGACTTTACCGCTCGGCCGCTGGTGGGCTATATTGTAGGAGGATTGTCAGAATATTTACTTTATGGTTTCATTGCATTCCTTGTCAGTGTGATTTGACACTGGCGAGACTAAAAAGAATGTGAAAATTTTGCATCAAAGAATATGAAGCCTAGTTTAAAAAAGATAAATAAATAAATCTTTGATAGGTGTTCACAGTTGGTACCTTAATTAGAATTTTCTCTTTGATTCTACAGATATTATTTACCATTTCAGTTGGTGAATCTTTGAAACTGTTCATATTAAAAACAAAATACCTTTCTTTTTTAATGACATTAATTCCAATCCATCTCTTCCAAATGTCTGCAGAATTATAATAGCTTAATCTTTTCACATTTTACATTTGTTTTGTCTTTGTTAGGCCATTAATTTTCCTATAAATTTGGTAGTTTCTTCTTCCATCTTTGAAAAAAGGTTTTGTTCCTGAAATTTTGTTCTTGTGTATTTTATATATAATTTTTCAAATAAATAGTTTTAAGACATTAACTTTACTACATGAGTTATGTTTAAATTTCAAAGAAATTGTTTGATTAATATTTAATATCTATTGTTTAATAAATATGAATGAAAATTTTAAGACATTTTTAGATGTGTGTAAAAAAATTTCTTTTCGAAGTTTGATTTAATGTGATTAAAGAAAGTGAAAATTATGAAAAGTTTTTTTTATTTTATTAAAATTATTATCTATTAGAATTTATTTTACTCATTACTGCATTGTATTTTTATTTCTAAAATTTGAAACATGCAGTCTTATAATTCATTTAAAATACATTTGATATGTTTCTTTTTTTTTTTTTTTTTTTTTTTTTTTTTTGTAGAAACTATTGAAACTGAAAATCTATAAGGCATTTGTTTTTAGAATTTCTTCTATTACTGGTTTTTGTACACCGATTTAGATTATGCTTGTTTTGTATAATTATAAATCTTTTAAATGTTTTTAGGCATGCTTATAATGTTACAATGAAAGAAGTCAATACCTTGCTGATAAAGGCTATCTTGAAAATTCCTCTTGAAATTCAAAAGGACCTTACTGCACAGCAGTACTTAGCAAAAATAAAAACAAGCTTGACTTTCTTTCAGCCCTTAATTTCAAACTACATTAGAAGTGCAGAGTCACAATTGGATTGCCTTTCATCTGTTGAGGTATAATCTATTAGATTTTTTCTTCAAAATAATTTCATTGGTTAGATTTAAAAAGACTCTTTATTAAGATGAAATATTTTAACATTTTCTACAGATTTTGTTATGAATTCAAAGCATATGTTTTCAAGCATAATTTTTCCTAATCAATATTTTTACAAATATATGAAGTTTGCTAGATTCATACTTTTGAAACAATTATTAAAAGAAATTTTTTTTATAAATGCATTAAAACAGATCATATAGTATTTCCGCTGTGTTGCGTGGTTTCTTAGTTTAATTTTTTCAAAAAATTTACATTCAAAATAATTCAGTTTAAATGGAAATTCCCATTCAAATGGAGAGGTATATCAGTAGCAAAATATTTGACTATTTCCTGGAGTTGCAGGGCTGACATCAGATTTGAGCAAATCTGAGCAGTTGTGTTTGAGAGATTAGGTTTGGTTATTTGAATATGGTGAATGCCACGAGAGTTGTCTGCTTAAGAAAAGGGATACTTTCCCTTCAGCAGATAACTCTCATGGGATTCACCATATTCAAATAACCTTTAAGCAGATACACGGAGGACTTTCTAAAAGAAACTGGCTTGTATTGTCCTGTGAGGTTTAGAGAAAATCTATTTTCATCTGAAGGAGGCAAGTTCATCAGTTAACATTAAGTTAAGAGATTCATAACTTACCTGGTTATGAATGGTAATATTACCTAGTTATGAATGGAGAGACATAACAATCCAAGGTTTGCAATAATAGCTTGTTGAAGGTAAAATCCAATGACATGCATACATGATACCTAAAGATATAGTAGAACATAACCATCAAGATACAGCACTTGTGAAAAATATGCAAACACCAGTACAGTACAAAGTCCAAGATCCAGACTCGTCGGGGCTTGTGTGATTCCGGATTTTAGATTTTTCCAGTTAGGTCATCAGTTTAAATCTAGTAAGATGGCATGTAGAAGAAATGATAAAATTTAAAATATGAAATCGTAATTTATGAAATAATGAAGCATTTATGACCTAAAGGGCATCAAAATTTAGGAAAAAAAGCTTAATATTTATTTGTCTACTTTATTATAAGTATTTTACTATATTACCATACTTATTGTTTTATAAGTTGTTTAAGTTGCTTTTTTTTTGTGCTAATTAATACTTTCTCTTTAATTCTATAGACAGAATTTCTTGTTCAGTTGGAAAGTTTCATTGTTACAGTCCTGCAATTGCCGTTTCTAGGATTCCGACTAACTTGTCAATCAATTTTTTTTTTTCATTTTCAGTAACCTCTGTGTCACTTTCTTCAGTATCGGTAGCAGTATTTTCTGGATCTAGAACCATACTAGATATTTCACCATCCGTTGATTGATGATTGAAGAGCATCGTCATCACAATGAAAAACTCCTTTTACATCATCTTCATTTATTACTGCTTCTCCACATTTCTGTATAAAATCCGTTAATTGGAAAATTTCACCTTTGGTTTGCAGTTGCCACTATTGCCATTTTTATATATCTGTATATAGTTAATTTCTATTTAATTTCTGAGGTTACGGTCCCTCGTTACCATTACCACCCTCTTTATTTTAGCATCATCTATCCTGCACTCGAGCGACTTTAGAAAACCTTCAGATTCGTGGCTATCATCATAAAATGTAGCCTTCGTTCAGTATACATATTTGTCTGTTTATCATGAAACTGGCGACTAAAGACTAGTTGTTCGGCTAAATTTTATCTTGCTTCTGTCGAGTACTGAGATAATTAAGCCTGAATTGTATTAGTTTCGTTATTTGTTATACTTGCGCCTATTACTTCACATGCTTAATGCTTATCCGAGTCCTGAATAAATAAATTCCTACATATACTTAAGGCTTATTGAGGACCGACACTAGAAATCTTACCGCCTGATACAGTCTCTGCAGGTCCTAAATTCTGCTACCAAGCGCCTCCCTTTGTCATCCTTAATTCTGTCACTTGATGCGGCCATATGTGCTCTGGCGCTGGTTCTGGGTTTATGCGAATAACAAATCAGTTATTCTTAATTCAAATAGCACTAAATGTATAATTTTGGCCTATGAGTATCGGTAACAAAATCTATTTTTAGCATATGGAAAGTTAGTTTTGGTAAATTTTTCCTGTCAACATTTCTTAGCCCATTTAACTTAAATCTGTAATCATCGCCAAGCATGATATCAACATAAAGGATTACCATACTTATTGTTATTCAATTACAAATATTAAAAAAAATGCTTAGGCATTGTTACATGAGTCATTACTCAAGTTGTCATGTGTTGATAAAACATGTGGTGATGAAAGCAAAAATGTAATAAATAATGATTCGTCAGGTTGGCATCAGGGATATAAAATATTAGTAGGCGTAAAATCAAGGATATTTCTATGTAGAATGTTTCAGTTTGAGATGTAGTACGCCAAGCAGATATGCAGCTGCGAAGCCAAATTATTGATCTTAAAAATTTATGCCAAAATGATTGTTTCTTCAATAATGAGGTATTTTATTTAGTACCGAAGTGAAATTAAGAATCAGGACTCTCCACGTTTTATTATGCACCGGGGGGGGGGGGGATTAAATGCGCATACATAAAACACACACATACGCACAAATAAATAAATAAATAAATTTTAAAAGTTTGTGATGGCTGTGAGTTCCGGATCTTGGACTTTGTACTATATATCATATTCTACAGTCCTTTATGCCACCCGGATGGGAAATGGTTAGTGACTCTGACTGCCATACTGAAGGGCCTGGGTTCAAGTCCCAGAGAAGACATGGATATAATTTGTCTGTCCCTTCATAGGAGGCAACAGTGGGCTACCTGTTAGGTGCCTCTGTAATAAAGAGACCATAATCACCAGAATCCAAGTCTATAGAAATTATTAAATTTGCTCTGAATAGCTTATGCAAAAAATTAACTGTGAAACCATCTGCTTGCTAATTGGATATGCATATCATATAGATGCATCACTTTCTTCTGGTTAAAAGACTATTGAGGAGAAAAGACAATCCCCAATCTGTCAACTCAAAGCAGCAATCAATCATTTTTCACCACATGGTAGTTCTTTTAAAAAATGTAATTAATTTATATACAATTTTAAAGCTGAATTTGTGTTTGTTTAACTTAATGTAGATCTTTAGCTTTTTTTCCCTTGTTAAATAGATGAACAAATCTTTTTTTAGCAACCTCTAGGGTTCTATGAAATTGTAAGCTGATTTTACATTTTATACTTCATAGGAATTTATGAAGAATCATGAAGATTTGGCACCAGCTGCTGTAAAGGTCATACATTTTTGGTATGATCGTGATATACTAAATGAGCCTGTGATACTCAAATGGTTTTCAAATCTAACATCTGAAAATGATAGAATTCGAAGCCAGGTAAGTAATTTCAGATGAAATTATATGTCTATTTATTCAGTGTCCTTGAAAAGTTAATAGAACGTATTTTTTAAAATTTATTTATATTTAAATTTAGATAATAAATTCTGTATTTATTTTGTGTACTAATGTTCAAAATTAACACATAATTATCAACTCTGCTGATTTTTTCATCATGCTTCCTGGCTTCTCTCTAAATCACTGGATCTCCTGGTTTTTAATTTTTAACGTTTACTGAAGAAAATGTGTTTCACCAATAAATGAAATTTATTGAATTAATGATACATAACATGTCCAAATTTCGTTTTGTTTCTAATGATTTTCAGCATAATTTTTCTAATGAATTTTTTATTTGAATTGTTTGAATCTACTACATTAATACTGGGTGCATTACCAAAGTTATTCACAGCATAATATGCATTTAAAATTAGGTAAAATATTGCTGAACAGATCCAGGTCAATCTTTGTTAGGAGTGAAAAGAATTCTGCAAAGAAGGAAAGTGCCATAACCATATTTATAACAAAGGGCAGAGCAAAGCGAACATGAGTGTAGCACAATCTGTAAATAAATATGAAAAATTAAGATATTAGAATTTTAAAAGCATTAGGAAGGACTGGATTAGAATTAATGTCATTAATTGTAAATTTTTATGAATGTGGAAAAGCTTCAATGAAATTCAGTCTACAAACTGAAGAGCTTTATGGATAATTTTCGTGGACCGGAAGTCAACTGGGATTAAATTTTCAACTATGATTAGCAGTCAAAACTGAAAAATGCAGTCCTAAACTGATAAATGTTTTAAATTAACCCTTCAGCAATTTTTTTTCAATATATTTCTCTTCTTTTAGCATCGGATTAGGAATTAATTTACAAATCACATATTTTCACTTCAAATCATTCAAAATGAATTTTAAAAAAAGTAAAACTACCACTTTTAAAGCCTAAGAATTTGAATATTCTTTTTGCTGAATTTATTTATGCCTTTTTGGTATTTAATACATGCCTTCTTTTGGTCTTCTGTTAGATTTTGGTAAGCAAATTTTGCAATTTTTTTGCTCATTAAATGTTTGGTCAGAATTGAGTCCTTGTATTATATTAAATACATTCTTTCGCAAAAAAAATTGAAGCACCAAGAAGGACTTTTGCAATCATAATGAAATTTGGTATTAAAAAACATCTTTATCGAAAATGCAAATGATAAAAGTTTCAAGGCAAATGAACAGGAATTGCGATCATAGCGCGCATTTCTAGTGCTCAATTTGCAAATTATAAACCAGTAACAGAGGTAGAAAATTTATCTTTTTTGGTGCTGCCATTGTAATTCTGTAAAGAAGCAACTAAAGATGCCATTACGACAATATCGAAGACCTTACAAACAACTGAGCGACATCAAATGTGGCCATGTTGTAGGTTTGCGTGAAGCTGGGTAGTCATACCGAGCAATAGGCCGTCACCTGCTGCGTACAGACATTGCTGTGCAAAAATGTTGGCACAAGGAAATTTCCAATGAAATGAAGGCTTTGGAAAACCAAGGAGCGGAAATGCGAGGCAAGATAGGTTGATTGTTCGCCAGGCCTGAAACACCCCCAATGATATCATTGTCGACTATTCAACGCATTACAGCCACGTCTATACTTCCCGTGGTACTGTCCACGTTCTCATGCTGTTTGTCTGAGGTGGGTTTATGCTCACAGAGGCCTTTAAGATGTTTGCCTCTGATCTCACAACATCGGCAGAATTGTCTGGAGTGGTGTCGCAGCTGATCATCATGGCTGCCATTAGACATGCATCGTATAGTGTTCAGTGATGAATCCCGCTTCACTCTTGAAGCAGATGACTTCCGTGTTTGTGTCTGGAGAGGACGGGGCCAGAGGTCCCAATCAGTTTTTGTTTTACAAAAGCATACAGCCATAACCCCTAGTGTGATGGTGTAGGACGCTATTTCTTATGACAGCAGGTCATCTTTAGTCATCCTCCGTACATCTTTCACAGCTCAATGATATGTTGATACCATCCTATGGCTGGTTGCATTACTCTTCATGGCATACCATCCTGGGGCCATTTTCCAACAAGATAATGCCAGGCCACATACCACTCGCATATTTCTAGACTGTCTCCGTTCGGTTGATACTCTTCCTTGGCCAGCTAGGTCACCAGACCTTTCATCAATAGAGCATGTCTGGAACTTAATACGCTGCCAGATTTGGACGCCACAAAATATCACAGATCTGGAGTGACAACTGAGGAATGCATGGCAGAATGTGTCACAGGATGACATTAGGAACCTCTGTCACTCCTTGCCTCGACGAATTCGAACATGCATTGCTGCCAGGGGTTTCAACCAACTAGTAATTTGTGAGCTGTGAACAGGTACTATGACCTTAATTTTTTAATCATTTTATTATCTATGTATGAGCTACTACACATATATTCATTTTCATCAAAAACAACCACTTCCTTCATGGTGCTTCGATTTTTTTTTTTTTTTTTTTTTTTTTTTTTTTTTTTTTTTTTTTCAAAAGAGTGTACATTTAGCATGACAGTTTTGAATTGACAGCAGTTATTTGGCAACTTTTCAATGAACTCGTATGGCTTGATATGTGTTAGTTGAGATATCATTGGTGCTTCATATGGTCTTACTCTGAATCTGTCTGTCACATCTACATAACATGAAATCTTGAATATGCAAAAGGCAATCACTAGCTTGACTCATTGGTATGCATTTCTATGAAGCTTTGAAAAAATTTTAATGAAAATTGAAGTTTACAAGTTGCATTCTGATTTTATCATGTGGTGTCAATCAGCGTTGTACCTTTGATCAGCACTTTTAAATAATATTTATTTGCTAATTTTCACTTAATTTAATTATGAAGAGCAGTATTTGGTTGAATGAGATATTAGAGAGTTTAGTGGAAGCTGCTAACGTCAGAAGGAAAGTTTGATTTATTTTTATACTAAACTGTGTCTGTGAGCTTATAATTAAATATGCATAGTTTTAAATCAAGATTTAATAAGTACTTTAAGCTAAGAAATTTTAATTACTAAAAAAATGTATTCTACAAATTGTATTTAATCTTCTATTTTTATTTCAGGTTAGTTCATTTATTAAATGGCTTCAAGAAGCAGATGAAGAATCTTCCGAAGATTAAATACTTGAAAAATAAATGTTTTTATTTTTCCAATATTTTTTTATGTAGTCATTTATTTACTCCAACATTTTATATATTAGTTTGTAAAATATTGATTATTGTTATTACTGATATTATTATAATAATCTTTCAAGTGGATGATAATGAAAATGGGGAACAAAATTATTTCCATTTAATTTTGTTCCCCATTTTCATTATCATCTACTTGAAAGGCTTAGTTTAGAAAATTTGGGAATCTGGAAAATTTGAGCTGAAATCAATAAGAAACTAGCTGAATGGTTTTTGGAAACCCATACAAATTGTAATAATATGAGTGGTAAGGTCAGTAGTAATCATTCTAAGAAAAATGGAGAGCTGTATTTATTGTGTTAAAGAAAACATGTGCCACATTGTGTCCAGACTCACTGGGGTGTAAATGCATCAATGGAAGAACAGGCAAGCTGTAATGTAGTATTGATGGAATAATTACCTTGCCATTCAAAATTAGGCAAAACATTATATTGGCAAAGATATCAAATAAAACTCTGAGGGTGATCAGACTTAAGTCTCTTCTCTTCAGAATCGAAATGTTTTTGAAAAGATGGGAGGAGCATTTATTTATATGGAAATCAGAGAATGGAGCTAACTGAAAATGAATGTAGTGCCATCTGTCAATGAAAGTAGTAATTAAAAGTGGAGGCTTCTCTAGTGGCAGTTTAGTTAAGACTGCTGAATACTGGGAGTTCAATCCTAAGCAAATGGGCTGGCTTTATATTGTTGCATGCGTACAGGTTCGTTATAAATTGAATGCTCAAGTCCGATGAAAAATGAATAAAATTTATTATTATAACAGCAGATAAAACAAAATGCTTAAATTTCCTCAGATATTCATAAAATATCCGAATATCTCACAGTAGTTATCTTTTTAACTACTAAAAACCTTCAACAGAACTAATTTAAAATAGAGAAAGCTAATCCGCAAATTCACTACAGTCAACCACAGCAGTTTTATAAACAAAACTCATAAAACAACTATTAACAAATTGATAGTTTTTCATGCCGCTTATATAACCTTTTTAAATACATGAGAATGTTCAGGCAATTTCTCGAAATCAAAAAGAGATATTTGTTTATTAAATGTTAAATGCATGTGCTCTTGTATTTTTAATTTTCCGGCTTATCTTTATCTTAATATTCATCACGTGCTGCACTGCACAGGGAATAAAACAATTTAATTTATAATTCTACTAACCTTATCTATTTAAATACCAAATCCGTAACAATATAAATATACATATGTGCCTATATTTTTCAGTGCAATATATATATGTTGTCTTTGCGCACTGAGAAAGAGTTGTCAAGAGTCAAATGAAATTCTATGTACATGTAAATCTACAAAATCAGGGTGAAAGAATCACTAATTTCAGGACGAAATGCAAATGAATGGAGTTTTTAGACCTCTCTTGGTCACTTCTAGCATGGTGCGATGCAGGCAAACATTGAGCATACAGGTCCCATACTATATCCTTCATCAACTGGTTGCATATTTGCTAGAAGGACTCCCATAGTTCAATTAACTCCTAAGCTGTGCGGAATGTGTCCGATGTGATTCAAGATATGATTGATCGGCGACAAATCTGGGGATTGGCATGGCAGGGAACTGTGGTAATTCTTGTTCCTTTTACCTTGCATATGGCTAGACATTGTCATATGAAAAAATGGCTTCTGTGAGCTCTGCTGTATGTGGCAACATATGCTGCTGAAGAGTGTCTGAAAGATATCACTTGGTTGTCATGGTTCTGTGCATCAATATTTAAGGTGAGGGCACTTCATATTATCACATCAGCTGAGAGAGCAGTGAGCCATTATAAAACAGACACAGGGTTGAGACTATGGGTCCTTCACATACGTAAACCATTATCATCATTGCTCAGGCTTAATTTCTATTCATCGCTGAAGACGACCTCATTCCATTCAATTGTGCTTCAATCTTATCGAGCGTGATGCCATTCCAAACAGAGGCGATGATCTTTGGCAGCACACGTAATGGCCCTGGCAATACCAAATGTTCTTTATTTAGACACCTCGCTATGGTACGACGATATACAAGATACTGTATTGAAAATGTGGCTTGTGTTCAGATGGTGGAAAATGATGCAGCTGGCACTGTGTGCTTGTCATATGATGCGACTGTCATCTTGGGTATTAGTCTGCCGAATGCGTCCTGATAACATGTATGTGACTTTTTTATTTAAAGCAATCCTCTTCACTTTAAGCTACTAGTCGAGCCGACCACTAGGCTTCCATCATCCCAGTACTTTTCTCTGGAGTTTTCTCCAGTGATCTCTTACTGGGCTTAAAAAATAACTTACATCAGATGGTTCAATGTAAGTTAAATATCTACGATTCTGTTTTGCATTTGCTCTTGACCTGTTTAAAACTAGCAATGTGGACATCCCAAATTAATTTTAATCACATATATTGTTTTCTAGAGAGTCAGTGTCAAAATCAAGTAATCTTACACTGCCTGTGAATAGATTTCCTGTAAATTAATTAGCATTATTAAGACAAGAATATGAAGAAAACTCTTAAGATTTTAATTTTATAACAAAAAAACAAAACAAAAAAAACGAATGTAACTCTTTGGAAAAGCTAGAAATCGAGCTAATTAATTTACACTGTGATATAAATCTTGTTCAAAGATTTTAAGATGCAAATTTGATTAACTTTTATTAGTACTTCTCAAAAGAGTTAAGTTCTTAAGTTATGAATTTTTGCAATAAGAATACTTACTTTGTTTTTGAATACATTTATGTGATAATATTTCATCTCCCCTCCTCTTGTAGTTGAAAATTAATAAGTATACGAAAAGAACCAGACTGCCGATGAGTATCTACAATTTGTGATGATACTTTTTAGTAATTTCCCTCCAAGATTACAAACTTCATGAAAATCGGAACGTCACAATATGGTGTAGCTGAAAGGTGTAGTAAAAAACGAAGATGTTTACAATAATTTACGAACAAATATTATTTTTTCTCTTTTGTGTCATAGAAAAACCTAATAAATAAACGAAAGAGACTAGGTTGTCATTATTTATTCTCAAGTTTTGTCCCTCTTAGGAAGCTTTAGTATATTTCTCTTTAGTTTAAATTAAAATATACTTTAGTAGTTCAATATATTACTATTAGTTGAATAAATGCCAGTCTGAAAATTTTAATATTTAGCTGTCTAATTCAGGAGTCAAACAACAAAAATCAGCGTTATATTCACAAAATAACGCTGATTTTTGTTGTTTGACTCCTGAATTAGTATTTATTCGGCGTGTTATTGTGTCTTAATTTAGCTGTCTGTTTGAATTTCAAATTGTGACCAACAGAAATTTCTTGCAGGTACAAACTTTTAGATTTGCATAGCAATGAATTTTTGCAGGAATCTCCAGGGAAAGTAACGAATATTTCCTTGGCAAATACCGGACAATGGCAATAAAATTCTAATAAAAATTATCATTTTAAATAAATGGTACGGTAATTTATGTACTTGAAAAAAAAAAAAGTAGATGACTTAAAATTCGATAGTCTTCCACTGTAAGGATTTTGTATGGGCTTGGAATAAGAAAATAACCCATTTATAAAGAAAAGATATCCAAAAATGAAATCAGAAAATTGGCTGGATTTGATTATACTTTGGCCGCTCGCTGATAACTACCAATAGAGTACCGAAAGTCATCCCCCCCCTTTGTTTCTTTTTTTCTACTTTGCTCTTGTTTTGAATGGGGCTTTTTCTTTTCTTTTCTCTCTTTTTTTTTTTTTTTTTTTTTTTTTTTTTGTTCAGCCAAATGAATTTGTTACATTGTATTGCTTATCTCATATGCACACACGCAATAAATCGAAAGATAGGTTGATTTTTTAAGTAGATAAATTTAGATATTTTTTCGATTTCGTAAGTGAAACTATTTTTCTCTACTATATTTTTAAATCTTGATTGATTTCTATAAAAATGAGAAATACAGTGCAGAATATAAAAGGCTTTAAAAATAAATAGAGTTCTGCAGCCATTTAATTCCATATTTGAGTCAATAATTAACTCTCTTACATTCTAGCCTCTTCGGTGGCCTAGGTGGTGAGCGCCGCTAAATACTGAGTATTCGCTCCAGGTTCGATCCTGTGCGAATGGGCTGGCTGCATCATTGATTTTTGCGGCATCCCTATAAAGGCACCTCCCCTCTTAGGCAGACAACCTTCGTATGCTATGAAACATAATCGCACTTCTTGCATTCTGCGAAGTAATTTAAATTCAAAAAAGCTTATTTATATTAATGGAACGTTTTATTAGTGTGAAGTCGGTAGCTTTGTATATTCTTTAGATGATACTTTTCAAAATGGTGCTGTATTTATTATTATTTTTTGTTACATGCTCCTTCATTAGGCGCTACACGGAAAGGGACTTTCAGACTCATGGAGGACTTTTTAAAGGAAGCTGGCTCTTACACATGTGGAAAAACACGTTGCGCATGCGAAAAACCACGAAAATGCCAATTAAGCCAGCTCGTTCTTCGGGACTCGAACCCCGGACGAACAACTAGTATTCAGCTAGGCCTCTGGTGGGCCATTGCGCTATATTTATAGTTTATAATACTATTTTGATACATTTATAATACCAGTTGGATTGTAATTTGCTTTGATTAGAATGCTGACTTAGAGTAATTTTGCTCCATAGAGAGGTATTGTACGGTATATTTAACTATGGCAAAGCTCTCTGCCTAAGGGAAGGGAAGACTTCCTAAGGGAAACTCGCTCGTATACATGTTACACATCGGGAAAACCACGAAAACGCCCATGCAGCAAGCCCATTCGCCGGATTCTAACTCCGGACTTTATTACCAGTGTTCAGGGACTTTACCGCTGGGCCGTTGATTAGCCCCATGGAAAGGCTGTTGTTTTCGATGCAAAGCCATCAATTACTTCCTGTATTACCTATTTAAAAATGAAAATTCGAAACTATAACCTGAACGATAAGGCCTTTCTTTAATCTGATCGACCGCACCTTTCGCAGC